CAATGCGAGGATTTAGTAAACATTTGAATAAGCTTACAAATATACCTAGCCAGTCGAAGCCCTTCGGCGTGGCCGGAAGCACTTCACGACCGCTTCTTCACCTTCTTCTTCACGCTTGCTTGCTTGCTTTTCCTCTGGTCGATAGGACGTATCCTATACTCCCTTTGGCGGCTTATCGTTCCGTCAAATGACCTACGCTTCTCTGAGATTTCCTCTATGATATCTCACACCCGCGCCAGGTGATGGAGCTCTCAGCTCTCCCATTGTTCGCGCATCGCATGCGAGCAGGAGCATAACAGCTGCGTTTCCCCCTGCTGCCCACGCAACCGCTATTCCGGGAGCTTGGAAACCCAACGCTTTCATTTTCTTCGAGGGAGGTAGGTGCTCTATCGTAGGTATCCGAGTTGCGGCGAGAGCGCGCTTAGGTATTCGCCCACGGCCATCGTGCACCAGTACGTACCACGTAGATTGCGGTCGAACTAGCTGGGGGAGGGGTTGTGCAGAAGTTTGGGGAGAGTGGGAGTTCAGCAACCGATCCATTGGGGGGAATTGGTGAAGCCTACGGTAGATTTGGCCCACCATTGTTCCCGAAGTGAGCTCGGCAGGGGGAGCTGGCAATCCAACCGTAGACATGCATCTCTAGATCATGGCGATTGCATGTACATATCCAGTACATCACACGGTTTTGCAAAGTCGAATCACGGTACGTATGTGGAGCTCATAGTGGCCACTCCCGAGATAGGACGCAATACCGATTGGATGACATGGCGATTCCACTTGTCCGTTCTTCCTCGTCAATGAAGTCCGATTCGAGAAGTATCTTCACCGGACTTACAATGGTCCCCCTCGAAAGTGATCGCCGGCAGCGGCGGCGGATGTCGAGTGATGTGCTGTGGCGGCGCCTGTCCATTCATCCACGACGTTGAAACTTGTCCTACCCTGATCTAGGTACTCACGGAGGTGTTTCTCGCTTCTTAATACTGCGATCTATAGAGTATGATACAAAGCACTTTCACGAAGGTTTTTTTTTTGGTTCACCGAGTCCCGATAAGTGCATGCGACCATCCACATCATGGCAGCGCATGCACATACATATGTACGAATACCCATGCTCCCGACACATCTGGACCACATTTTCAGCCTACGCAAGACCATGATGACGCACTTTCACGGAGGCACATGATGGTTCGGGTATTCTGGAGTCCATACCCGAGTGCTATTTCATGATTCACTATAGCTACTGGAGCACGGAGAGGCCAATCCTTCCGCTCGGTCTCATCTGGGGCTCTCACTGCTACATACTATGGGGGATATCCGAGGAGCCCAGAGAATCTACGCCAAAAAGCCCTCGCTGGCGAGCTCACTCCCAGCCAGTGGGTTGGTTGAACATAGAACAAAGGATCCTCCCCAAATACTCCATGGCACTTTCAACTACCGTACTACCTCCAAGACTACTAAGGAGCCGGAGCAAGCTATGCATTCCGATGGGTTGGCAGTCCTATATAACCGGTGCAGCGGACGGCCGATGAAGCGGGAAGGTTCGAGCTCGTTCGTGCCCACAATGACAAAAAGGCCAAGTAGAGTTACAACGGCACCCCTCTCCACCATCCACCCTCCAACCTCCACCCTCCACCCTTCATCCTTCATCCTTCACCCTCACCCCCACCCTCACCCTCACCCTCACCACCCTCGACCTAGCTATAGTACGGCCCAACATCACTCCAAAACTGGAAGCGAAAAGCATCGCGGAGAATCGAGCGCTAGAAATATCCGACAAAGGTGCGGTTGCGGTTGACCTCGACGTGGGTCTCTTCGACGTGGTTCAAGGGCACCTGGTATCCTATTGTAGTCTCGCCTTGTGATTGCGTTCTCCAGCTGCGCGGATGAACGTGCGGATCAAGGATACCGTAACGGAGCATTCTATGTCGGTGGGGTCAACGCATAGAAAGGTGCTTCGCTGGCGAATCTCGGGCATCGCGGAAGTGTGGCTGTTGGAATTGTGTTCGGAGGATCAAAGGTCTTCATGTTGAGGATTTTGTTCGGCGGATCAAAGGTCTTCATGGTGAGGGTTTGAGGTGGAGTGAGGTCAGAGGTGCAGGGGTCACGCAGCGAAGACGGAGCGAGCAGGTGGAGGGGCAGGAGAAAAAGTTAAACTCTATTGCGTGGCCACGTGACAGCCAAGATCAGCTTCCGTGGGGAAAGTTCACGAGCCGAAAGCAAGCTGAGCTGTGGTTACAGCCTCTTCTATTTCGCTGCAGGTTCCAGGACCTGGGGAACTTACTCAGCTCGTATTGTTTGCCGCTCTAATGGCTGCTAATTCCTCTTGGTTACCGCTTTTGGCATGGCTATTGCCGTTGTCGCCCGCCAGTCGCGCTCACCCCGCCCCGCTTATCTCGCTCATTGCCCCTTGTGAGGTGTGTTGTGTTGTGTTTCTTCGGTCGGCCGGTCGCTGTCGGTCTACTCTACTTCAGAGTTGTTGCTTTCACCTTTCCAACTCCTACCTCCAATTTGCTTCCTATCCAACCCCTCCTTACCTTACCTTACCCCCCCACACAACAACCACTACCAACACAAACAACTACCACCACCCCCCCCTCCCCCAACCCAACCCAGCCTCATCATCATCATCAAAAAAAAACTCCAGTCGCGGAACTTGACTCGTCGAACCTCACCCACGAGATCGAATAACGTCCTCGTTACATACCCCCCTCCATCCCCCCGCATCTGCCTCCCCACAAGCCCCGTCTCACTTAGGACAACCCAACGCAAAACTACCACTACAAGCACACCCAACCGATCTCCTTCTCCTACCACCACTACCACCAGCAGCAACCCCCCACAACCAAGAAAGAGGCATGGATACCAAGATGGAAGACGTCGGGGGAGCCCCCCCTCCACCCTCGAGCATAGCTGTTCAGGATTCTTCGTCGATAAACGAGCTGGATGGTTGGATTGCGACGTTGATGCAGTGCAAGCAGCTCAGCGAGTTGGACGTGCAGCGGCTCTGCGAGAAGGTACTATCACACTATCACACCCACAATGATCTCGATCGCGATCTTTTCCTCCCTCCTGTCCGCCCGGACCGGACTCAAATTATCTGATACAACGCATCTCTGCTTCCGGGCGGGAAGCTTGCTCCGAACTGGCGCGGGATGGGATGGGATCGGATGGGAATGATGGATGCATGCGGCGGGCGGACGATGAGGTTGCGAAAAAATAGTCATGTTGAAGGAAGTCTTGCTGACTTCTTCCCTTTGTTGGCTGCGGCGGTAGGCTAGGGAGATCCTCCAAGACGAGTCCAACGTTCAGCCGGTGGTATGTTGGCCCACCATCATCCCTCTGAGATTCCCCCAGAAACTGATGAGCACCCAAGAGATGCCCGGTGACAGTGTGTGGAGATATCCATGGACAGTTCCACGACCTCATGGAGCTTTTCCGAATCGGAGGGCCTAACCCAGACACCAACTATCTCTTCATGGGTACGCTACCACCACCATCAATTCACATCTCTTTGATAAATACCGTGCCGCTCTAAAAGTATGAAAACCCAGGTGACTACGTCGATCGTGGATACTATTCGGTGGAGACAGTCACGCTGCTGGTAGCTCTGAAGATTCGTTACCCCCAGCGAATCACCATATTGCGAGGAAACCACGAGTCTAGGCAGATCACGCAGGTGTATGGTTTCTACGATGAGTGCTTGCGCAAGTACGGCAACGCGAACGTCTGGAAGTATGAGAACCTTTGCACTCGAGCTTGGGATGTGTACGATTGCTGACGGAAAGCTGCGCAGATTATTCACGGACCTGTTTGACTACCTACCCCTCACCGCCCTGATCGACAACCAGATCTTCTGTCTTCACGGCGGTCTGTCACCCAGCATCGACACTCTAGACAACATTAGGGCGCTCGACCGTATCCAAGAGGTGCCCCACGAGGGGCCGATGTGCGATCTGCTATGGTCAGACCCCGACGACCGCTGCGGATGGGGAATATCGCCTCGAGGAGCTGGATACACGTTCGGACAGGACATATCCGAGGCGTTCAACCAAAACAACGGGCTCACACTTGTCGCACGAGCCCATCAGTTGGTCATGGAGGGGTATAACTGGTCGCAAGACCGTAATGTCGTCACTATTTTCTCAGGTATGTCGTCTTGTGCCCGGGGTATCTCATTCAACCACATCCTTGGTGTATGCTGACACCGACCAATAGCACCGAACTATTGTTATCGATGTGGTAATCAAGCGGCGATCATGGAGATTGACGAACATCTCAAATACACTTTGTATGCAGACCCCGCCGAGAAGAACGCAGCAAAAAATTGGAATGACATTGTACTGACTTGGTGCACAGCCTGCAGTTTGATCCTTGCCCGAGAGCCGGCGAGCCGATGGTTTCAAGGCGTACGTTTCCTCGCCCTCCTTACTTCGATTGTGCCCATATTAACAGTATGCTCTTAGGTACACCGGATTACTTCCTCTAGATCATGGATTAGAAATAGTACAAAGAATGCGGGAGCAGAATACACATCCTACCACCACCAAAAGCGTCATCATAGATGGGGGGAGGAGGGGGAGGAGGAGGATGCTGGGGTTTGTGTGCGTACTGTCAAAAAGCATGTGTCACGGCGACTTCTGAATCCCTAATAACTTTGTTCGACCCCTCGTGTTCCTTTGCCTGCCATTACATCCCACGTTGCTGAGCTGAGATCCGTCCGTTCGATTGATGCTTGTATATATCTCTTTAGTGCTTTGTAGTTTTCTCTGTTGCTGTCTATGGTACCCTCGTGTGCTTTCCTTTGTGTTCGCAGCTTGTTCTTTTTACACCTTGCTTTTCGGTTGTTTTGTCGGGAGGTTGTGGTGCAGTACGGGGATAGAATTCTCCATTTTCTTTCCTTCTAATCGAGATTATTCCGTCGCATATCTACATTGACCTTGCGCTATCCCGTTTGTCCTCGTTTGTGAAAGCATGAAAGAGAGGTATTGTAAGTAAGTAAACTGCAATAACGACGACCTCCACCTCGCAACAGAATACAACGCTTGATTGTAAATCCCCATATGGTAGATAGAATTTGAAGATGAGGAAAAAATGGGCTTGTTGACACCGACACTTCTAAACCCCTCTCACCCCGTTTGATACAAATGGCATTTTTACTGCTTCCCTCTGCTCCCTCTCTACAGTCTAGAAACCAATCGAAGGCCGACGGAAACCGATCCAAGAAGCCGAGGTTTAACCGATGATGAGCTTTCCATCCTCGGGGAAGCTATATATCCGTGTAAGCACACACATATGCGGGGGGGAGGGCTATGGAGTAGCGGGTGCATGGGGGTGACATACTCATACTCGGGAATCTCCAGATTCAGCGGCGCGGGGCCCCGTCGGATACGTCCAGAGATATCGTAGTGCGATCCGTGGCAAGGACAGAACCAACCACCGAAATCACCGGCCTCGCCGATGGGCACACAACCTAAGTGGGTGCAGATTCCGAGCATGATCAGCCACTCGGGGTTCTTGACGCGGTCGGCGTCGGCCTGCGGGTCGCGGAGCGACTCGATCTTCACTTTGTTCGCCTCCTCGATCTCGTCGGGTGTGCGGTGGCGGATGAAGACTGGCTTGCCGCGCCATTTGATGATAACCTGTAAAGTGTGAGTGCGTGTGTGGGAAATGGAGGGGCGGTGGGACCGACGTTCTTGCCCTCTGGGATGCTGCTGAGGTCGACTTCTACCTTGGCCATGGCAAGGACATCGGCTGAGGCGGACATGTTGACGAGGAAGTCTGTGGTGGTGAGTCAGCCATCCATCAATCCCTTGTGGAATTGATCGCATCCGATCTCGTATTGCTAGGTGGAGGAGTGAAATTGTGGGATTGTAGAGTTGGACATAATTGCATCATGCATCCGTTCTCACCCCCTCCACCCCTCACCCCCTCCACCCCGGCAGCAAGTCAACCTACCCTGAACAGTAGCCTTCGCTCCGGCCGCCGACAGAGCACCCATAGTTCCGACCATGAAGTACCCAAACACCTGATTGCCACGGGTTCCAGTCGAGGACCGGTACTTCGAGAAGTCCGGGATTTTTGTGGTCTGGTGAGCGGAAGCACCCGCGAACGGGCTCTTGTAGGTATCCGCAGTATCCGAGGAAGAGTTGCGGGCCTGCATGGCGGCCGCGGCGGTGGGGCGCAGAGTGCGGAGGGCGCGCGTGGCGGTGGTGCGGACGGCGGAGCTCATTGTTGTGGTGTGGTTCGTGAACGTGAGGGGAGATGGTGGATGGGTGCAGAGGGTGGGTTGCGGCGGTTTCGGAGAGAATTGGGTGATGTCGGAGAGACTTTGAGGCGCTTTCTTTTTTTTGACTAATGCCGATAACCGGACGCTGATTGGTGACCCAAGACCGCAACCACAACAACCGTGGCCAGAACTCGAGACCGTATAGTACCACCGCAACGGAGGCATAGGGAGAAATAAACAACCACCACCGAACGAACGAACAGAACTCCCGATTGATACCTTCACTCACCAGCGAATTATTCACTCAGCAGTCATGGCCGATAAACCAAAGGTTAACTTGTATGCGATCTCCGGTAAGTTGCGCGTGCTGTGTCTCCACACACCCTACACACCTTCCATGCGCCCGATGAATTTCCGCTAACCGTTCGTTGACTCGACGCCAAACAGAGCTCAAGAACACTACCGACGATGCCATTCCACCTGTGCGTCTCTATCCTATCCCGTCCTCACCAAAGCTGTGCCGAGGAAAGAAGAAGAAGAAGCTTAGCTAACATCTTCCCCAACAGTACATGAAGTCTCTCGGCTTCAAGCAATCCAACATCTACACGGACGTGCGTCTAGCGATCGGCTTCACCGCATGCGCGATAGCCGGCGCAACCTTCTACTTCGACTACACCGTCGCGAACTTCGAGAAGACCAAGGAATACACACTGTACGCCGTCGTCGCGTACTTCGTTCTCAACACCATCTTGACGTGGTGGATATGGGGAGTTGAGGGCAGCAAGGTGTTTGTCGGCGAGCGCAACGGGGTCAAGGTGCGCCTCTGCGTATGAACGAGTGCATGCAGAGGTATGATGACTGACTTGTGTGTGTTGGGCCGCATTGTAGATCGTCCTCGAGAGCTCCTCCGAGAAGTACACGCCCGTCTACGAGCTTAAGGTCACTAAGACCGAGAAGGGAAAGACAACCACTACGACAGCAAAGAACCCATTCTCGGGCTGGTATGATCAGCAGGGATACTTTGTCGAGAAGCCGTTCATGGCGTTCCTGCAGAACACGATTCCGGGACTTTCGAGTGTGGACGAGGTTACCAAGGCGAACTAGAGCAAGAAATAGTGGGCGGATGGGCACTGGCGGTTCTGTTTCCACATGCAAGACTTGTACGATTGCTTAGCTTAAGGATATCTAAGGCGTTCTGGTGGTTCGAGTACGGGATGGTCGTGCTATTGTGCACGAAACAATCCTGCAATCATCCCATAACCACATCCTCATCGTCCGAAATCTCCACTCCAGTCTCTTCCGCCTTCCCCTTCCCCTTCTGTGAAGACGCTCCCTCATCCAACTCCGGCTCCGGCGTAGCCTCCACCCGATCTACCGCTGCTTGCTTCGGCTTCATTAGCGTGCTCAGCGTCGTCTGTCCCGTCTCAGCCACAGCCGTCTTCTTTTTCGACTTCGCCGCCTTCGTCTCCCTCGTCTGCTTAACCGCCACTGTCTGGGGCACGACGTCCGACAGAAACTCTAGATTATCTATCCGAGCCACGGCGTTTGCTGCATTCCCCACGGACATACTGTAAGCCATAGTAGACGGCGTGGAAACGCACCTACGCACCGAGGTCTTTGTATTGCACCGTCTTGCGCTGTTTCCGCTCCGCGGCGAGAGTTTTGACGCCTTGCTCAGCGAGGTATTGTATAAACATCTCCTGTAGACATCGAGTGAATCAGCCAGTGCGAAACTGGTTGGGGCGGTGTGGACTCACTGTCGCTATGGAGATGAGGTGGGTCGCCTGCTTGTTGCATTGGTATACGTCTTCGTCGGTCTTGATAATTTTCATCACTCGAGCTCCTACATGCATGGAATGGTCAGTACGCAAAGAGTGGGGCGGCGGATTGAAGACTGAGGAGAGTAAGGGATGGAGGTACGAGGCAGCATGGAGTGGCCCGTGGCGCTGTCGGGGTCCAGGTAGTTTGCGGACACAGCGGGTTTGGGAGGCATTGTAGAAGTTGGTGGGAGTGACTCTCAAGGGAATAGTAACTGAAGAAGTTGCAGTTGCATGTATCTCGAAGTCTCGACGCGTAGTGAAACTGGGAGACGTGGTGGTGCTAAAGTAGGTATGACACGCACGCTCTCACCGAGCTATCTAACCCTATCATCCCCGTCCAGTCCGGAGGGAGCGTCGACCATCATCCACCACCCTATATACAACGCCATCCGTCGGGGCTGTCTCAAGCTAAAACGAAACACATTCCGATCCCCCCCACCTACCACCCCGCCAAACGCGGACTCGGATGTCATGACCACACCTCACTTGCGCACCCACCTGCGCCGACCCTCCATCTCGTCGCGCCTCTCGTTCGCGATCTCTACGCACTCAGCTGAGGCCGGCGCTGCCCGCGAAGACGTTGCCGGCACCCACGAACATGTTGAGGAGATTGAGGAGATTCGGAGATATGAGGTGTGTCTCTGTCGAGTGAAGTGAAGGAGGGCGCGGTGCTGATGGGAACAGGATTTTACCACTATAGGTTCGACGCTCTCGTCCCCACGGCAGCTGACCGATAGCTGACGGTAGCTTCACAGACTGGGTTCAGGATGCTGCGCGCGCCCAGCTACAACGGAGGATCTCGAGAAAGAATAGAGATGGGTTCTTCCGTCGGGGCGGAGGTGCAACGGGCTGGCGGAGGAAGCTGTACGAATCCTATGATGCTGGACAGGCGTGGATTGTGATTACGATAATAGGTTGGCGCTGCTGCTACTGTGGAGGAGAGGTCATAAGGCTGAGATTTTATACAGGTGCCGCCATCGGTCTTAACGCTTCGTTTCTGAACATCGTCACCGAGTGGCTGGCGGACATTAAACACGGTCACTGCACCACGGCATTTTACTTGAACGAAAACTTTTGCTGCTGGGGGGCCGAAGGCAGTAGGTAGCCGCCTGTCAGTTTTAGGCCGAGAGCTTCCGGGGAGAGCTAACGAGCATTGTATGCAGCATGCGCCGAGTGGAAGCCTTGGAGTAGGATCTGGCCCATAAGTTACATTCTCTACATATTGTTTTCTGTACGTCTTGTGTTCGTCCAACCGTCGGTCTCTCTCCGCTCTACCGGGCGCGAAATTGAATGAGTGGGACCACATAGATACTCTTCGCCTTCACCTCCGCAATCTTAGTTAAGTCCTTCGCACCATACGCTGCCGGCTCCGGAATCTCAGAGATCAAATGCATTATTGCCGGCTTCGTGATGAAGGGCTTCCTCGGATGGTGGACACTGTTTATCAAATCGATCGGGCTGCCACTGGCTATTGCGTCTGGACTGAGCGTCGGAAAGGAAGGGCCCAGTGTCCATTATGCCGTCTGCGCAGGAAACGTCATCAGCAGGTGCTTTGATAAGTACAAGAGGAATGCCTCGAAGATGCGAGAGATCATGTCGGCATGTGCGGCGGCGGGTGTGGGTGTGGCTTTTGGATCGCCTATCGGTGGCGTTTTGTTCTCCCTCGAGGTTAGACCTCTGTCCTAAGTATACTGGACGGCCATACTGACGATTCCCGAAGGAAATGTCCACCAATTTCCCGTTGAAGACTATGTGGCGCAGTTACTTCTGTGCGCTGGTTGCTACAGCCGTGTTGGCGGTATGTACCCCACTTACTTCCTGGGGCTACGATGTCTGACCGCAGTACGTAGGCCATGAATCCATTCCGTACAGGACAACTCGTCATGTTCCAAGTCCACTACGACCGAGATTGGCACTTCTTCGAAGTGGTTTTCTTCATCATACTCGGTATCTTTGGTGGCTTGTATGGTGAATTCGTGATCAAGTGGAATCTCCGTGCACAGGCTTTCCGGAAACACTATCTCACGAAATATGCTATCGCCGAGGCAACGTTCCTGGCGGGTGCTACTGCGGTGATATGCTACTTCAACATGTTCCTCAGAATCGATATGACCGAGAGCATGGAGATTCTGTTCAGAGAGTGTGAAGGTGCCCACGATTACAATGGACTCTGCCAGTACGCTCGTCCGTCCTGGTGTTGTTGTTGCGATTGCGAACTAATGATGTGTCTACAGACCCAGCCATCGTTGGTCGATGGTGTTTTCCCTCATCATGGCCACCGTTATCCGTATCTTTTTCGTCATAATATCGTACGGATGTAAAGTCCCAGCCGGTATCTTTGTCCCGTCCATGGCTATCGGTGCCTCGTTCGGCCGAACAGTTGGAATCCTTGTTCAAGCGCTCCACGAAGCCGCTCCGAACTCCCGCTTCTTCGCCAGCTGCCAACCCGACATTCCGTGCATCACACCAGGCACGTACGCATTTCTTGGGGCGGCTGCAGCTCTCAGTGGGATAATGCACATCACTGTGTCTGTGGTGGTCATCATGTTCGAGCTCACAGGCGCGCTGACGTATATCCTCCCCACCATGATCGTTGTTGGCGTTACCAAGGCTGTCTCGGAACGCCTGGGGAAGGGTGGCATTGCGGATAGGATGATCTGGTTCAATGGGTTTCCATTTTTGGATCATAAGGAGGATCACTCTTTTGGTGTCCCTGTGTCCCAAGTTATGAACGATGATCTATGTGTGATACCTGCGTCAGGGATGACTTTGGGAGAACTAGGTTTGTTTGCGTTTTCTCTGGTAGGAGGGTGTTCCAGCTGACTCTCCAATAGAGCAAATACTTGCAACAACCAAATACCAAGGTTTCCCCATAGTCCAAGATCGCACCTCGAAACTGATCATGGGCTACCTCAACCGGTCAGAGCTCAATTACGGCGTTGATCGCGCAAAACGCCAACGCTCCATCCCCTTCAACGCACGTTGTTTCTTTACCCCACCACAGCAGAATCTCACTCCCGCAACCGCGACAATCACAGTTTCCGCGTCTTCCTTCTCCGGTGGCGGCTTCTCCGTCGATTTCGCACGCTTCGTCGACCCAACTCCGTTAACAGTGCACCCACGCCTTCCCCTGGAAACCGTTATGGAGATCTTTAAGAAAGTCGGGCCTCGGGTTGTGCTGGTCGAGCATCGTGGAAAGCTCTGTGGTATCGTCACGAGAAAGGATGTGCTCCGCTTCCAGTTCAAGATGGAGAATCGCGAGCACCCCAGGAATGAAGATGATATCGAGGAAGATCGATACAGAGAGGAGAAGCTGTGGGAGCTTATTGCGCGCTCGGCGGCGTGGGCGAAGAGGAAGCTACGGTTTTGGGAGAGGCAAAGGAGGACGCCACCAAGTCCGGAGGGGGAGATTAATGATGGTGTAGATGGCGATGGTGAGGTGGAGCTTGATGATCGCAGAAGATGATAATGGAAACGACTTGGAGGTTATGTCTATAGTTCTAGTTCGATTTCTGTGGAATGGAAGTGCTCTAGATCAAGGAAAGAACGCTCAACGGTTCTCCGCAACGTCGGCGGCCGTCTTGACTCCCTCTACTACGCTCTTAACGTCTCTCATGATGTCTGCAATAGTCAGCTCGTGTCGACGATGAATTGGATGGATCCTTACCGCTGAAATCATCGAACACCTTGTACGGCACATTCTCTGCCTGACAATACTTGATGAGATCTGTCACATATCAGCCCTGCGCCCCTCCAGCTTTCTCACCGTACTCACCATGTCCCGCCTTTGCAAACAGCAAATCCGTTTCTCTTGCCGCACTAAGATCTGACACACCGTCTCCACAGTAAAAGAAGACCGGCTTCTCCACGCCCTCCGCCAACTTCCCCCTCGCCTCCTTAAAGGGTTTAATGGCCCTACTCTTATCATGTCCAAAATGCGACTCATCATGAAACACGATCTCCCAACCGCCCTCCCACTCCTTGACGCCGTTCGCGAGGATCTCGATCTTCTCGTCGGGGCCCAGCAGCTTCTCGAGCAGCGCACGGATCAGTGGCTCCATGCCGGACGACAAAATGATCACGGGGATATCCTGCGTTTGGCACCATTCGTAGAATACTTTGAAGCCGGGGTCTAGCTGGATGTGCGACAGGAGGATGTCGCGGCATTCGCTCATCGTCTTGTGCGGAGACACGGAGCTCAGCATCGCGTGGAAGCCGTCGCGGAAGCTGAGACGCCCTGCGAGGATCTCGGCGCCGAGCGTGCGCCGTTGAGTGTAGCCGAAGCCGATGTTGTCGACCTACGATGGGTGAGTAAGGGAGGGACTGGGGGAGGAGGAGGAGGAGCAGGGGGAAGGCGCACAAGGTAGTCATTGCTATCCGTCAATGTGATCGTTCCTATCGCAGTTCCAGTCAGCCTCTGTCTCTATCTCTCGAACCCGAACCCGTTCCTTCTTCCGGCCGGCCGTTCATACCGTCAAAATCGGTGAAGACAATCGCCTTGTGGTTCAAATCGACGGTGGCCATGGTTGCTTCTGTGAATGTATGTGGAGACTTTGGGTGAGGTGTACCCCCGCCATTTGTACTCTACTTCAGGGCCCCACCCATGATGGTTCGTACACACATGGCTCGGCATGCTTTCCCGTTTGTTCAGTGCCTAGTGATGCGGAAGTGTAGATCTTCGCTGTGCCTTCTGCCGTTATCTTCCCCTAAATGCCGAGGGAAGGGCGTGTTCGGTGCGGGTGAGATTATGGCACTTGGCGGTGGAGTTGATTGAGGGCTTTGTGGTGGGTCTATGACGCTGCTTGACCGGGGCTTTTTAATACCGAAAGCGGCCCGTAAAAATACACGTGCTGGAATGGGTGGTACGGCGGTCCTTACGGTTCAGAAAGTGGCACAGAATGAGACGTTGCAACAGCCTCTGTATCGCAGCTTTGGCTTTCGTGTGCTGTAGAATTTTAGCTTCAATGGAGTTGTCGGTCCTGGCCCCGGAAGTTTTGAAGCCCCATTAAAACCCGGCGGTGCTACACGTTCCATCACTCGTGTACGGATTACCGTCTCCGGCTAGCCGGAATTGACGTCGCCCGCAAGATGTCTCTCCACCAGCGACCGAGCCTCAACTCCCCATGCTCGACGAGCAATCTTCCACCCATTGACCCAGTCAACATCGTCCTTCTCCGCCGCGATGAGGCCGCTTCTACGAACACTCGTGGCGAGACCCACGTCGACTCTCCTCCCGCGCACTGGCCACCTGGCAAACTTCCGGCAGCAGCAGCAGTCAGCACCTTCAACATGTCTCCGATGTCAATCTCACACTAGCCAGCTCCAGCTCGCATGGACTCGTCAATTGCGATTCTACTCTTCGGAGATAGATAAACCAAAAGATGCGGATAAGAAGCCCGTAGAAGGGGTGTCGGAGTCGGAAACCACACCGGAATCCAAGGTCACGCCGGAATCGAAACCCACACCGGAATCGAGTGTCCCACCTACCAACAGCCTTCGCAACCTCCCCTCGCAGCGAGAACTGCGCCGCTCCGAGGCGTCAAAACGGTTCTCGAAGGCAATGGACGACCTACAGACTGCCGTGTTCACCGCGGGACAGAAGCTCAACATCCTGACGGGGTACTCGGACATTGAGACATTGAAGAAGGCGATTGATGCGCTTGGTATGGCTCATTGTTGACGGGAACGGGGGGAGGGGGGGGGTAGGGGGAGCATGACGGGGCTAATGAGTGGGGAGAATGATTTGTAGAGCGCCACGTTCAAGCCTCGCGCCTTGCCGTACGGAACGCGAAGGAGGAGTACCAAAACGCGATCAACCGGCGGTCCGCATCGCAGCGCGAAGTCAACGAGCTCCTACAGCGGAAGCATGCGTGGTCAACAACGGATCTGGAACGCTTCACGCAGCTGTACCGGTCCGACCACACCAACGAGCAGGCGGAGCGCGCGGCGGAGGAGCAACTGTCACAGGCGGAGAGAACGGCGGATGAGGCGCAGGATCAGCTGGCGAGGAGCATACTTGCCCGGTACCACGAGGAGCAGATTTGGTCTGATAAGATTCGGAGAGCCAGTACGTGGGGTACGTGGGGATTAATGGGATTCAACGTCCTGCTGTTTATTGTAGTCCAATTGGGGCTGGAGCCATGGAAGAGGCGGAGGCTTGTTGGTGGCTTTGAGGAGAAGGTCAGGGAGGTGATCCAGGAGGAAAACAAGAAGTACGTGCTGTCCAGCGTACCAACGGCGCTGGCACCCGAGGATGGGGAGGTGTTGTTGGTTGCGGAGAACACCACCGAAATATCTACACCGAACGAAACGGCGACGGAGACAATGGAGGAGGTCACATCAGACCTGGTTGAAGTCGCGGCCATCGAGGAGGCACCCATCCCCGTTACTCTAGAACCCGAGCCCGAGGTCACCGCGGTCGGAGAAGGAGAGTCCGTCGCCGAGCAGCAGGAGCAACAGGCATGGTCACGAGGCGAGTCGGCAGTAGAGCACCAAGCCTGGGCACTGGGCGAGCTGACCTGGGAGAAGGTGAAACTTATGAAAGAGAAGGCTAAGGCACTCGTGAGCGAGCATGAGGTGGTGCTCACGCAGAGGGAGCTGACGACGATTGCGGCGGAGGGTGTTGCCGTAGGAGCGCTGCTCACGGGATTGGGTGTGACCATTGTTCGCTATTTCATAGCGAGCCGGTAGCGAAGTTCCGTTGGATTTCAGTTGCATTGTAGAATTCTGGCTAGAGAAGATGGTGTATCTATACTACAGTAAAGTACGGTGGCCGTTAGATGCCACCATCATTCATACCACCGTGAGGACATCACTCGACCCCGCGGTTCCACCATCCGACTCGGCAACTTCCGAAGCACCGCCGCTTACCCGGTTGTCATTACCTGCTCTCCAGAACCCGTCTGTCCCACCTCCAAAAAATCCGCAAGCTCACCTCCCCACGCCCGCACAATGTTCGCCCTCCGCACTGCCTTCGCCCACGTCCGGCTGACCGCCGCCACCGCCGCCACCTCCGCCGTGCACCTTTCTCCACGGCTGCCGATGCTCACGCGCGTTCCCGCACCCATCATCGCACCGACGATCCCCCGGCGCTGGGCAACCTTCAACCAGGTGCTCAAGGGCTGCCGCAAGCAGGCGCGGGCGCGCAAGCCCGTGTCCCCCGCACTGTCGAAGGGAAAGCGACCGTGCATGAAGGGCGTGTGCATCCGTGTCACTGTCATGAAGCCTAAGAAACCCAATTCTGCGGAGCGAAAGATCGCCCGTGTCAAGCTCAGCAGCGATCAAGTCGTTACGGCGTACATTCCTGGTGAAGGTGAGTGGAGAGTGATGGCGGGTGGTGGGATGGCGGGATGGAGGGTTGGGGCTGATTGTATACCTAGGTCACAATGTGCAGCAGCATTCGGTCGTGCTGGTGCGCGGTGGAAGGGCCCAGGATTGTCCTGGTGTCAGATACCATCTTATTCGGGGTGCTATGGATTTGGTATGTCCCTGTGGCTGGAAGTGAGAGTATGATGGGGTTGGGTGGAATGCTGACTGCGTGAAGGGCGGTGTACCGAACAGGATTACGTCCAGGTCCAAGTATGGAACCAAGAAGACGAAAGCTTAGAGCTGTTGATGAGGAGGGGGTTACGGTGTTGTACTATAGAGGGCAATGGCACATGGTGGACGGATTTGGGCTTTCTCGATTGGAGGAGAGGTTTGGATACCTAGTCCATGTGGTGTCACTCGGAGTTGTGAAATCGATCGCCAGTCAGCAGCTATTTCCATGCTGTTCCGGCACTGGATAATTCATGGTGTGTGGGGTATGCAAGGATTCTAGGCCTGTCGGGCTGTGAGAGGTGACGACGCCTTCTGCGTAAGTTCAGTCATTTTCAGCCGTGAGGCAACAGTTCACAGCCGCAGCCGCAATGCATCCTCACCTCCACATCTTCAGCTAATAAACAATACGTTATCGGTATCGGACCACTTTATTCCACATTCCCGCCGCACTGTTGAATAGCTGGTCCGTCCATATCTCATCTATCCCTAGTTATGTCCGATACAATCCCGTCGTATCAAATCAGAAAAAGTAGGTACAACAAAACAGTAGGAAAATAAAAAATAAAAAACGGAATACACGTGAAGGAAGTTTTTTTAGTCCATCTGCTTTTCGTATCCCGCCGGCTTCACCAAGCCGTTCATCTCAAAGAATCGTGACGTGCATGAATAACCTGAAACGCACAATATTAGTATTTATGCGGGGGTATACGTGGGGGCGGGGGTAGGCAACGCACCCTTCCAGTCAAAGTTCTTCTTGGGGTCGCAGGTGCACTTGAGCTTCAGCCTGTCCTCCTCAGAGGTGGGACAGTGGGTGAAGGGGACGTGGTAGTAACTTCAATCGGTCAGCGAATGGTTCAATTGCAGTGGCAGAGTGAGTCAAGCATACCCTATATCGTTGAAGAAGTGGATCTCATCCTTGGGCAGTAGCAATGCAGCGGCGATACTGTGAACAGGTGCATCACCCCATCTCTCGTAGAAGAAACCACCATCCTGATCAAGCCTGTTGAAGAATTCCGTGTACGCCTTGCCTCGCCAGAAGTTAAGGTTGCCGACCTCGAAGTTGGACCAGAAGTGGCAGCGGTTGTAATTGACACCGGCGTCGTCGCTGACGAATTGCATTCCATTATTCTTAGCAATGTGCTCTGGGTGCTCCTTCATAAAGGTCTTGACGCTATTCCAAAGTGTGGGAATGGTCTCGACGTATTCGTAGAGCGACAGAGTAAAGCCATAGTTCTTCTTGTTGTCCTTCATGTACTTGAACACGTCGTAGTCGATGTCGCAGTACAGCTCAATGGAGGGCTCGACACGCCAGTAGTATTCGTAGTCAAGCATCAGCTCCTGTTGGAAGAAGAAGCCAGACTCGAAGCGGCACATGTGGCGGTACGAGATCGAGTCTCCGTAGATGATGCCTTTCTTGTGCTGTGGAAGGAATCCTATCAGCAGTTATACGATCAGAGCACAACTGTTGATACATACCATATCCTCGCGGACTTGCTTGGCCTTATCCTGATCGATGTGATCGGGGAAGCTCCAGTGCTTCTTCGGGATCTCACCATACTTCGCTGTGCCGCTGACGAGCGCAGTAGTAACCTTTTTGAAGTCGTCATCGAAAGGCTGGTCGTTCAAGAAAACCCAATCGTAGTGGAACTTGCGGTTGAAGCGGTCCTCAACCATGCGGATCGACTTGGCGATCTCCCAGATATCGTTGTTGCGGGCGAGGGTGACGAAGGTGGCATTTGCCCGCTCACCGGGAAAGACGGCCTGGGGGAAGCCAGCAGGTGTGTTCACAGTCGTGTCCTTAGCTGGTGTGTTGGCAGCTGCGGCCAGCCGTTGCGCCCTCTGGATTTCAGCGACGTCTGGAAGTGGGACCTTGGTGTCGTAGGCACTGGTGTAGACCTTGTAGAATACGATGAGGGACTGGAAACGACGACAGATTCTGGTCAGCTTGCTACTACGACGAGGAGTGCCTCAGAGAGGCCAGACTTTCAAACACATACGAAGAATGCCAGTAGGGCGAAGCGCAGAGTGCGGGTGTTCTGTGGAGTTGGCATGTTGACGGATTGTAGGCGGCGACCGACGAAGCGAGGTCGTCGTCACTATGAGGACAGAGGGAACGAGTGCGTGGTGGATCTGGCCTATGCTATTTCCTATCGCATGAGCACGAGAAGACCGGAGAGTACTATAAGAGCGATGGCGGTGGAAGAGCGGACCAGACGGGGAAGAGAAAGTCGGGACAAGAGGGACTCTTCTCTCAGTGTGTGTGTCTCTCTCTCTGTCGGGGGTGCGGAAGCGAACGGTCGTAGAAGGAAGGACGTAATGTAGCGGTGGGGATGTGACGGTTCGCAGAACAAGCAGTAATGGAGGTGGGAGGTACTGAAAGTACCGCGAAGACAAGGACAGGTACACAAGCACGCTGTCTGGGGGGAATGGAAGATATAACTAGCGGTTGCGTTGCGGTTGTGTGTTCGTTCAATAGGTGTTCTGGAAGCTGAGCTGAGCTTCACATATAAGGAAGGAGAATTTATTTTATTTTTGGGGCTCAAACAGAGCTATGCGCGCATACGTAGATTTAGGATTGCTTTTTTGCAGGAGGTAAGCAAGTGGCACGTACTTGCGAATAGGAGGCCAAATTTAACGCCCGTTGCAGGCAGTGCGCAACGGTCTCGCCCAGGCCCGAAGCTCGGGCCGTTCTTCTGCATAGAAAGTACACTCGGAAAGAACACGGTAGTGTCCACTGCGTTAAATGGCACTGGACATGCAGGTACATACTCGATTCTTCCGGTCGACATAGAGTAGAGTTGAGTAGAGTATCACGAGCAAGTGAAGCCGGTCCGGCCCCCACGGCCAATCGCTCCGAGCCATCACGTCAGGCCGCGCGTAACCTGGGGGCGCCCACATCGGCAGGCCGAGTGACAACGCGTGAGCAGAACACACGAGAGAAACTGCTCGGGCCGGTTCTGGGAGGCTGTGCAGCGATCGCCGACGGTGGCCACGGATGGTGGAGGCTTGAGATGACGCGGAGTCACAGCGCAGGCATGGCAAAGGTGGAACGAGCGTGCGCGGGAGCTCGAAGGAGAAGAATTTTGAATGTCGATGCGAATGGCTTGGTACACCGAGGTCTCTTCACCTCACGCGAAAGAAGCTGCGATGAAGAAGAAAGGAGAAATATGGTATCTACCTAGCCAGTTATCGGTGATCTGGAAGGATCTGTCCGGTTGGCGCGCGGATTTTGTGGGGATCTTTGAGCTTTGCCCGAGAGCCTCAACGGATCCGCACGTGGATAAGCTGGCCATACTGTACCGTACTATCTCGCCAACACCAGTGCGATTGCTTGAGTCGATAAGCTTAATGGTACTCTCAGATCTCGGCAACCGCGGAGTTGCGGAGTCGCGGTTGCTGTGGCCAGCGGGAGGTCCGCGGGAGGTCCGCATTGGGAGCTGCTGCAGCTCCACGTCAGGGCGACTTCACCGTCGAGCTTACCCGGCCGCACTCCATCACCCCACCAGACCCACCACAACCACCAACCCCCGCGTTGTCTTTGTCCTCCAGCGCAATCCGACTTCCACATAATCGCCCAGCTTCTCTACCACTTGTTTCTCAAATATTGACTCTTAGATATTTTGCTATTTCTTTGTCCTTTTTCCCTAGCTACGCCGGCGCCTATATCTACGGCTCTCGATTGATCGGGCATGTCATTTTTTGGCTTCGAGCCCACTCAAAATCCCCGCCAGCGAGGTCATCCCTCCAGGGCACCCGGGTTTGGAGAGACTCCCGACCCTTTCGCTGGATTGCAAGGAAAGTCGATCGATGATGATGAAGATGGGTCGGTTTGCCTCTGATAGCATAGCGGCTTGAATTGGTGCTGATTCTGGAGCAGCATTGATTTTGAGGATACCTACGATGGGCTCGGCGATGCCCTTGACGAGACTGACGATGCATTCAACGATGACACTTTTGGCGGGACGAGCACTGGTAGGCCGTCATCATGCCCGAAGATCCTTTGGATCTGCTTTGCTAAGACATCGTGGATGCCATCAGATCGAGACTTCGACTTCGCCGGTGCCACCGCGAAGGTAGCCGAAGTCATCCAGGAAGAACATGCGGTATACACTCGGTCGAACACCAGGAAGCAGCCCGCAAAACCCGTAAAGACGGCGGCTGCGGCTAAGCCGACGTCGATGATGACCGAAACAGGACAGCTCCCCGCACTCGTGCCAGACATGTCGTTGTGGGGAACCTCTCCCGTGCCAATGCAGCAGGAACAGTATCATCAGCACCAGTATGAGCCGACACCACCACCTGCTCCAGCGCTTGCAATCCCGGGTATGGGTAAAAGGTTTATGAGTCTTGAGGAAGTGGAAGCTCAGATACTGGCCATGAGCCAAAAGCCGCCACCGGTCCAACCGCCGCTTCAGCAGCAGCAGCAGCATTACCAATCGCAAGGTCCTCCCAACCAGCCGATGCACCAGTTCCAGCACCAAATACCCCAGCACACCCCGTCTCCCAGCCACCAGGTGCCTCAGTTTGCGCCGCCGCCCGTTGATCTGCGGGGATTCCCGCAACATCAGCTGCCTCCACACATGCAGCAGATGATGCATCAGACACAACAGTCGGCACAGCTTCCCCAGATGCTTCCGGATCGTGCCATCGGACGGCAGTCGCCGGCGCCGCCGATAACGGCGATGCCGCCAATGCTGCCCATGCAACAGCAACGGGTGCCGCCGCGTGAGCAGGATCCTGCCGGTGCTCCCCAGGGACGCAATCAGTACGGAATGGCCACACACTTGCCTGCTCAGCAGCTGCAGACTATGTCGGAAACCGACCGTCTAAGATATCTGGAGGAGGAAAGCAAACGGTTGAAAAGAAACCACAAGATCGCGCTACTTGTACGTGCTATATTTCTTTGTTGCAAGTTCTATCATCGAATTGCTAACCCATTCCTGCAGGCTCGGTATAACGGCCTGATGACCCCTCAAGACAAGAACTTCATCCAGAGAATACAGCTTCAACAACTTGTCTCCATTAATAATGCAGAAGACAACGTTAATGAAGACTTCTACTACATAGTTCACTCCGCCATCCGGGCCCGGTCAAACCCACAACAGCCATTGAGTCAACTTGCCCAAACCTACCTCTTCCGCCATGGCGGTCGGGGAAACAGGCGACAGGACAACCACTTGCAGCGCATGGAGCAACAAGTCGCGCGTGCGGTGGCTGCCGCTAAGGCGAGACCGAAGGCCAGCCAGTTGGTTCTGGAGGGTAGTCTGGGGAAGATTTCGTTCAGCAATGTCAAGACGCCGAGGCCGATGTTGAACATTAAGAAGTCCGAAAGTGGTGTCGACCAGGGCAAGAAGGTACAATAATTATCCCTTACACGTATAGGATATGTTTGCTAATCACACAGCAGGCAAAACCATCTTTGGCCGACAGAAAGTCGCTACTGCGAGCCATCGAGAATGTCTATGATGCCCTTTTGGAACTGGAAATCCACGAGCGAGACCATTCGAAGCTGCCAGTCTTACCACCTGGACAATCTCCGACGGAAATGCACCAAGAATGGTCAAACAAGCGTGATCAATTGGCTAACAAGCTCTACTCGGAGACCAAGATCCATCAACCAATTGATCTAGCGTAAGATCCTCTGCCAGCTCCCAATGATTTTGCAACCTCCTGACACAATGACAGCTCGCATTACACGCACCCCTTCATCGCTATTCTGTCCTTCTCCAAGATGAAGCGCGCCATGCCACGAATCTTCCGGCATCTAGATCAAGAGCAGCGTCTAACCGTTCTCACCATGATCGTCGTGCACCTCGACATTTTGGATGTCGTCAAAAACGGCATCTACCGCCCCGAGGAGACTCAACTCCCCTCCGCGCACCGCGAAGAAATAGAAATCTTCGCCAATCACGTGCTCCCTCCGCTGCTCGGATACATGTACGAAGCGTCCTACGAGATCGTATGCGGTCTCCTCAAGATCATGCTCGACCGCGTGGACCTGCAGCCAGTATGCATGACCAAAATCGGCTTACAATTCTTAACCATGTTCCTCTCTCGCGCCGAGATTCTGAAGCAGAGCGGACACCTAGACGACCACGCGCTCCATGAGTGGCAGGGCGTGTACGACCGCTTGTTCAACACTCTCAACGGCCACTGGAATAACTGCTTCCCGCCAAACGGAAACTTCTCGGATGACCAGTATGTCTGGCAGTTCCTTGCGAGCATGGCCGTCGGCGCGAATATGTTGCAGCAGCAGACGCTGGTGTCGGCTGTAAAGTATGTCTCCTCCTCCCTTTCTTTTAGGAAGTTTCCAGTTGATTGACCATCAATAGGGACCGCGTAATGGAAAACGTTCAAGCAAGCAAGATCCTCCCGCCGGAGATCGGTGTGCAGAAACGTGAGAATGTGAACCTTTTCATGCGCGCGATGGGGCTGGATGTTGATCTTTTGGGATGATGATGTTCCCGTTTGTCTTGATAGCTAAACAGACCGAGGTCTTCCGTTTTTTTATGTGCCAGTTCTTTTTTTCTTCTTGTGGGTGTTTTTTGTTTCTTCTTCTTCTTCTTCTTCTTCTTCTTCTTCTTCTTCGGGGTGTGCTCTTGTTTGGGTTCGGCATTTGTTACCCACCTTCTGTCTTGTCTGCGCGCATTGTTTTGCATGTGGTTTTTGGGGGAAGAGGAAATGGGGGTTGAATGTATGTTCTCTACGTGTGTGTGTGATGAGTATACGGGTTGTATGGATGGAGGGATTTCTCGCATGGGATGAGTATGACAGATATGCTCTGTGGATGTGTGTGTGTGTGTGGTGCATGGAAAAAAGAATTGATGAGAGAGAGGCAGTCATTGAAGCATAATTTCATCCCACTCGCGATCGATCATACGGAACTCGATGTAGTACATAATATCCCTTCGCTATAGAACGCTATAGAAATCAAACGCCATCCCTCAAAAAGAAATCGCAATCACTGATACACAAAAACCATCCCCCCTTTGTCCACGCTCACAACCATTCCATACGGCACCTCCAGGAACGCCACATCCGTAACCGTGTCGAGATGAGACTTCAGCAACTGCTGCTGCTGCTGGCTGATAACCGTGCTCCTGGACGACCTCCCATTGTTACCTGAAGACGAGGAGCTCTTTTTCCTCCCGTTGCTGTTACTGCTGGCGGAGGTAGCAGCAGCGGAGCTACCGCCAACACCAAGGAAAGCCCTAATCCCCCCGGAGCCGGTAGACGAGACGGACTCTGTATCGCCGTGCGAGGCCTTCTCGGAGAAGATGGCGAGGCCCTGGGAGGGGTGCGTGGTGACGTACGACGGCTTCGCCTCGTCGACCTCGAGGCCGGAGATGATGGTCGAGTTCTCGATGCGCGCGGTGTTCCAGTAGCGGATTTTCCGGTCGTTGCCGCCGGTGGCGATGATGAAGCCGGGCGTGACGGAGCGGGGTTCGGCGTTGGCTTCGAAGTCGGGTTCTACAACGAAGGCGCGGACGCCGCGGTCTGGCGGCGTGGAGGAGGTCGGTGTATCGAGGTGCGTGAGAGATGTGGCGAAGCGTTGCAGAATCGTCTCCGGCGACTCGTCGTCGACGTTCCAGGCGTCGTATGGCTTGGACCAGTCTTTGCTGCTGGGGGAGCCCGCGCGGTACACTTCTTTGCAGACGACCTTGTCGCAATCCCAGACGGAGAGTTCGCCCGGGCCTGTGCCGCCGGCGACGAGGATCCAACGGTTGCGGCCTTTGAGAGGGTAGGATTGGAGGCGATGGATGGGTGTGGACCCGGGGAGGCCCCAGGCTTTGAGGCGCAGCTGGTAGCGGATGTCCCAGAGGTCCAGAATCCCGTGAGAAGTGCCAACGACAAGCCAGTTGCGCTTCTTGTCTATGCAGAAGCAGGTCGGTGTGCCATGGTAGACGGGATTCTTGAGTGTGTAGAGGATCTGCATGGTTCGCAGGTCCAGCGCATAGATATTTGATGCATTCGTGGCGATGAGAAGGTTGGAACCATTGTCTGCTTTGAAATGTTCCATCCAGACCGCATATTCCTGGGAGCCAGGAAGCTGGAATTCCCTCATAACTCGAAGCTTTCCGTATTTGGCTGCCGAGGTGGAAAATTCGACTTTGACGACGTGAACGCTGCCATCGGTGGCGCCAGACACAAAGCATCTGGTGTTCTCTACGAAACAGAGTGCCTTCACTTTGACGTTGTTGCCATGCTTGTATGACTGCCGCGCCCGGAAGCCAACGTTCTTCTCCAGCCTTGTCGTGTCCCAAATCCTGACCGTACTATCATCTGACGCCGTTACGAAGAAATTATGGTCGGGTGCCACCACGACTCGGTTGATGGGCTCCGTGTGCTCTCCGAACGAGGCGACGAAAGTGCCCTCCGGTTTCCACATGCCGCTAGCAAGACGGCCATTGCTCTTCTTGATGGGTTGTTGTCGCTGAGCTGGAATAATCGTCGGCCCGAACTCGACGATATCGCTCGGATAGTTCTGCAGGTACATAGTGTCCAAGAGATGAAGAATGTGTGGGTCATTTCCATCATACGAATGAGCCGCTCGGAATGGGAACTGCGGTTCCAGGGACGGAGTGATCGTCGGCTCTCCATTGGTACCCTTCGAGAGCGGTGCTCCCACCCTTCCAACGGCAGTGGTCGATACAGTACTCGTTTCCGCCGGTGCTTTCGAAGGGCCCATTCCTCTGTTCAACAAGCTATTTTTGCTCCCCTTATGGCGCAAAACCAGGTGATTTTCCACAGAGTTGGGCGTGACCGGTGCACTGTCGGTACCACTTATCCTGACCGCGGGGATCTGCAAAGGCTTAGTCGTAGTGCCAGTGTCGACTGCAGTGATAGTGGGAGTGGTCGACCCGGAACCAGACAGACTTCCGCTGCCTTCAACGTTCCGTTGCTGCCGGCGAATATCCTCCGCCATCCGCTTCAGATGTAGTTTTGATGCGGACTTCCGGAGAGGCTTGTCAATTGTCCTCGATGCATCCATGAGAGCGTCGGAGATTGTGAGGGGTCTCGAAGGATTGTCCGACCGCGGTGCCAGGAGTTTGAAGAGACTCTCATTCTCATCAAAGAAGATAGTATACGGTGTGATGTTGAGGTTCTGAAGTGAGATTGTTGCCCCTATTGACGAAGTTGTGCTATCAGAGAGTAATCGAGGTTTGGATTGAGCCATCCTCCAGATGTACTCCCTCAAGGCCACGATCTTCCATTCGTCGTCCGGTGGCATCCCCATATTCCTAAGCTTGCCGAGCCAGACTTCATCCTCTTGGTTTTTGGGTATCCGAGCCTGCGCATCTCTGGTAGATATTTTCGGGACCGAATCGGTCACGGATCCGAATACAAACGTGCGTTGTCCTTGAGCACTGGCCCAGAAGTGGCCATCCCGAGCTTGCATAGCCCAGTTCACCGCCATTTCAAAGACACTTCGTGAAAGCTGTAGGCGCGAACTAGATTAGCGCCATTGCGGTCGGAGTGAGCTAAAAGGAAAAATATGCATACCGGCTTCTTAAGATTCTCCAGTAGATTCAGGGCGGAGAGATCAACCATCTTAGTCCTCAGGAACGGCGCCAGAAGCGGGAAGACGATGCAATGAATGTCTGCCGGTGCCAGCCATTTTGTGCTGGCTGCGATAAACCCGACGGCCCCTTGCCGGATCCATATATTGGGATGCATCGTAAATCTTCCCACGACATCGACCATCTCCCATATCTTACTTCTTTGGAACAACCCCAGCTCTGCCATACTTGCAAGTGAACGCAGTACTTTCTCAACAACGAATTCCTCCGGGTCGGTCAAACTCTGAACCATCAGTGGCATGATATACTCCTCCAAAGCCACGCTTCCCAGGTACGTGGCGATTCCCGTGATGGTTTCGAAGAACGCACATCGCAGGATCCAATCTTTGTCGTTTAGGTAGGTGTTGAGATGGCTCAGGATGATATCATTTGCCTTGTTCCTCCCGAAGAAGACGCAAAGCCTGGACACCGACCTCAGGAACGCACGGCGCACCGCAGAATCACTATCGGTCAAAAGCAGTTTTGCGTGGTCCTGGAAGTACCGCACAAGAATATTCCGTGAAGTATCGAAAAGTGCTTGAGCCGATGCCGTATCGCTAGATGCCTCGGCTTCGGGATCTGTGGTGGGTAAAACACCGTCCGCGCGTAGAGCTTGGGTCATATCGAGAAACCGCGCAGCGCTGTTGGCCAGTGATGCAAGGCACGACGCATATGTGGCACGAACCAGCGTGCTCTCACTTATAGCAAAGTGTTCAAGCTTGGGAAGGATATATTCAGGGAAGACATCTGCATTGGTAGGAGATGCAACTTCGACGATTTCCATCTGCATTCCACGTCAGGGGGTAATTCATTATAAGGCAGGACCTATACTAACCAGTTGTGTAATGGTCCGGATGACAGCCACCTGTACAATTACACTCTCATCGCCCAGAAGAGAGACTAGATATGGCAAGCACCGATCCATCTTCGCCTCGTCGGTGATCCGTTCCGCGAAGGCCAACATTACATCACATCCTCTCACTCGAGAACCGGTGCGGGTTGTGTTTCTTAGCGAAGAAGCCAGAAGACTCAGGAATATTAAAGTCCCGTCGTCCGAAATAACATGTCTCCTACGCACAGCCGAAGAGTGTCGCTGGTAGTTTGGGATATCAAGATGAATGGGAATTATGTCATCGCTTGCGGACGTCTTCTTCGGTGCCTCCTCGTTAAGCTCGAATCCGAGGAAGAAGGAGATCTTATCGAAATCGTGGTATATTCTGTCTATTCTGTGGTCCGCACGGTCATGCGCATCATTACCCTCCTCGGGAAGATGAGTGCGACCAGAGGTGGGGTCTGTGACAAAGCCAATGTATTGATGCAAAAAGCTGTAAAAGTACTCTGGAAATGCCTTTCGCCTCCACTCATTCAAATATTTCTCCGCCGAATACCTCTTGGACGAATCGAGGCTGATCATGTGCTGTATAAGCTGTCGAATTTCTGGGTCCTCGATCTTGGCCAATTGTGGCGCGGGGTCATAATCTCCTGAGCGATACTTGAAGAGCTGGGACAGAGTAAAGAGCGGCGTTCCCTCCAAGAAAAGCTCCGCAATGACACAGCCAAGACTGAAGATGTCCATCTCGTCCGTAATACTAGTGTCCTCCCGTTCCTGGTTGGGATCGAGAAACCGCTCTGGGGCTATGTAACATATCCGCCTGCTCGACGTATCGAAGAAGTAGGAGAAATCCGCCGGGTTATCTGCCGGAAGGTATGTCGGCTTGAAGGGCGCAAAGTCCGTGAGGTATATCCAGTTCCAGGACGTGACGAGAACATTTTCAGCTTTGATATCGCCATGGTGTACACCCTGAGCATGGCAATCCCGGATTCCGCACAGGAGCTGAAAGGCTATCCATCGCTTCTCGATCTCTTCCAAAAACGGCCGGGTGCTGATACGATCGTATAAGCTGCTGTAGAGATATTGCCGAACTAGATATGCTGCCCGTTCCGTCTCCACAACCCTGTCATACGTGAAGGCGTTAGGTATGTTCAGCAGCGCTTCCTGTTCGCCTACAAGCTGTCAGCTTACGACCGTAGCCACAATCCGACGAGAGAGCTGGCAGCTACACACGTTCGATCTGCTGCCGGTGGAGATCAAGGTTGAAGCCGGCGAGCAGCGGTTTCGCGAAAACCTTGACTGCAACGAGACCATCGGCATGCCGAGCTCTGATGGTTTTGAGAAATCGTGCCGAGCCCAGGGATTTCTCGTAAGAGAGGTCGACAAGCTCTGGAATATCGATCCCCGCTCGGGTATTGCCGTCAGCGGCGGTGGTGGAGTAGTTCTGGCCCATCTCTAGGTGTCACTGGCGTGTGACAACGGCGAAGGTTCAAGGGCGTAGATTTCATGAGAAGTTCAGACGAGCATGATTCGGAGTTTGGCGACAGCGGGCGCACAGCGGTGATCGAGAGGTTGGCGACGTGCGCGAGGATGGAGTTCTGGCGGCGTTGAAGTGACGGTGAAGACTAGAGCTCGAGGGAAGCTCGATACGATGTTACATAACATGGTTTACCCGGAAGCCTTCTATTTCGTTAGCCTCCGAGCAATGACAAGGGTCATCTGTCCCACTTGTCATGTCACCAACCAATGACTCTCAGGAATGCGTATCTGCAATTTGTCTTCCGAGGCGGTTATGGTGAATTTGACTGTTTTTCGAACGTCCTATGACAAAACTTAATTCATCAAGGAGGGATAAAACTGCTAGAAGAAGCAACTCCAATAGATTCACCAAGGCGGCGAAAACGAAACCATCATCGTTGTGTTGGATTCTAGGCTCGATCTCATGGCATGACTATGCTGCGATGATTCCAACCTAATTTCATAGCACGACTATGATTGGGACACAAGTAAGTTACAGTAGGCTCCTCCCTACTATTTCCCCACAACTTCTGACGGTCAAACTTTACCGATATAGATTGGGACACTCGGTTTATTGGAAGCGCAACACGTTCAAAGGACCTGGACATTGGATGGCGCGCCGATCCTCGACGTGTCATGCGTCATCACTCGTTTTTATCAGAAATCTCGTAAACTTCATTATACAACGCTGAATAGTCGCAGCTAAGGATACATCATAGTACTCTGGACGGGAAACGGAGTGTGTGTCTGTATATTGCCATGATCTAGATATGTCGCATGCAATCAATGTGCAAACGAAAATATCACAGTACTCTTTACCATAGGTACTCTGCATAGGTTGAACGCATCGATCATCAACAAACAAATATCCGAGCAGCACTCTGGTGTGTAAAGATACATATTCTATCATGAGATAGCTTCAAGGAGAAATCCAAAATAACGAACTACACACAGCTCCTCCAAGAAGGGGAGGAGCTACATGGCCTGGTAGCTGATATATATCTCTGAAGTCACACTACCGCCGGGAGAGTGCTGCACGGGACGGCATCGTCGAAATGATGGGAAATAAATCTTTACTTTCTCGTCAACAGAATAGCACGAGTAGATCCTATCATATAAGAATCCACCTCGACTCTACCACGCAGAGTGACCACCATCAATAATTAAATCCGACCCGGTCATAAACGAGCTCGCTGCAGACATCAAAAACACGGCCGCACCCCTTTGTCCACCATCAATCAACCAACCCAATCATTCCAAACCGAGGGTTGGGTAAAAACGTACCTAAACTCCTTCGGCGAACTCAACCTGCCGAGCATATTCTGCGTAGCCCAATCCGTCTGGCGTTCTGGAAACTTGATGAACAGATCCTCGACCATTGCCGTGACGATGTACCCAGGACTCAGAGAGTTAACGCGAATGCCATACTGGCCCCACTCACTCGCCAGATTCTTGGCCAATTGCTTTACGCCCGCCTTGGAGGCGTTGTAGGCGGGACATATCAATCCCTAGCACATCGCACCATGAGCATTAATCCAACCAGGGAACATCATCTCCCTTCCCCACCTTATTCGCAATCGTTGCGCTCATGCTCGCAATCAGGCAGATACTGCCGCCCTTCGCAGTCCTATGCTGGATCATGGCCTTGGCCACCGCCTGGGCGGTCATGAACACGCCGGTGACATTGACCTCCAGCATGCGGTTCACATCCTGCGGGGTATAATCCAGCGCCGACGTCTCCTGCTGGATCCCGGCGGCCGCGATCAGCCCATGGATCGGGCCCAGCGAGGAGATTGTGGCGTTCAGCACCGCGTTGTCGCGGACGTCCACCCGGTGGTAGGTAATCGACGTCCCGAGTTCCGTTGCCCGCGCGGCGACACGCGAGAAGTCGTCGCTGGGCGTGGTGAGCAGGTCAATTGCGTGGACTATCACATTCCCAATCCAGTCATCATCAGCAGTGCAACCTCTGCGGAAGAGTGTTGGAACGTGCGCATGTGTGCATACCGATTGCCCCGGCTTCGAGCAGTGCCTCCGCCTGTGTCAGTCCCAGTCCCCGAGCTCCTCCGGAAACAACGATGACCCGTCCGTCGAGCTTGAACTCGGGGAGGCGCTCGGTGGAAGTTTGCTCTGCCATTATGATGATGTATGATATATCCGCTCGAAGTTACAGTTTAGAGTTAAGCTGGGGGGCGATGTCGCTGTTATGAATAGGCTTTTCTCCTCTTCTTTCCACTCTGCCCCGCACATTCACCCCCACCATACCCACCCTCTGATTGGCGGGGTAGATTGTGGTGTCCGCTTTCAGAAAACGGACTCGATGAATCCTCGGTGGTGGTGGTCACGGGAGATGTACATGCAGGAGAATGCTCTAGTGGGGGAACCCTTGCCCATCGGTCATAGGTTATCACGCAGGCTACGATGGTGGTGGTGTATTGGATGCGGGGCGGTTGGGTGTACGGGGCAATGGGGAACTCATATCGAGCCCCAAACATACATAATACGGGGAGAATAGTGGGGATCTGATTCTTTGGTGCGCGATCCGGTCTTGTAACTGCCATGGTATCGGTATACCTACGGTCGAATGCATTGATGATTCAACAAAAAAAAAGCGGTTGGAAGGACTGAACTGGTTCGAAACAACATGAGATTCAAATGATTCGATTGTAAACTTGCAATTTGCAAAGGCGAAGGAGCCTCTTCTCAGCCCAACCACATCCAAAAGACGGACCTGATGGCAAGGAACAAGTTCATCATAGGTATATTACCCCCGTCCATATCCCCCCATCTCCCCACCAATGAATCGGGCAAATCTGCATGTTGCATTCAACCATTTGCGGCTCACAAGTGGCCAAGGTGTGTCCATTCCCATGCTCGGAGCGGAACAACATAATGGCATTTCCAATACTGTCTCACAGACCTAGCGCTACAACCGGTTTCAACCAAGACTTCATCGCCGCATTTCTCAATGAAGATCCAGGTAATGGTGGCCCAACTGAGAAGCAGTAGATCTATCGCACAACATACACACATTTCGTCTCAATGAAGAAAGAAAACCATCGCAAGGGTCTGAGAACCTGTGGTTTGGTCGAGTCGGAGGGTCGAAGTGAGGAGCACAAGCAATGCCAACAACTGTAATAACACAGTAGATTCACCCATAAAGAAAGCCGGATACCAAGTGTGATGATGGAAAAACAATGATTACACCCGAAAGAGAGCCCTAAACCCTGTCTCAGGACTGATCGCTGCTATCTAATCGTCGGGGCTCTTAATAATTCATCTAGGTAACCTGTTCTCATCTCATGACGACAGTCTTCGTTACAACGGATGTGGCACAACATTGGATCCGATGACGCTGTATTCGAGCCTCCTTGATCTTCGACTACCGTACCGGCAGTCTGATTCCGGGCGAAACGAGGAAAATAAGGAAGCTGCCGGTTCCAAAACTGAGACGAGAGAAGTCAAAAGCTGCCGGGGCCAATCTACTCTAAACCGGCTGTCCTCGAAGCCGATCCTGTGGCTAAGCATCCTCCAGATGTGGCTCACTGTAACCTCTCAACTCGTAATTACACTCGATAGCACGAATTCTACTCGGCTTTCCCGTAGATGCATACGAATCATTGATCAATCTCGCTGCGCATGCCCCGCGAAGAAAAAGGGGTGTTTGTTCGGAGAAAGGGAGTTTTGTGGGTTTCCCGCAGGATGAGCACAGGATTGCCGGTATTGTGGGATCATGAGCCGTCGGGGGGAAATGAACACGGATAGGAGCGTCCTTCCTTCACAGAACACCACGGGAGAGTTCGTCTTGACCTACTCGCTGTCTTACGTACGGTATGCACTTATATTTTCTCGATGAGTCCGCCCTCGACCCGAGTCCTCGAGTCGTCCGTTATGCTTGGACATGTTATTCCACGTGAGGAGACTCGTGTAAGAACGCGGACAGCAAACTTTTCCATGCGGCTAGAAGTAGGTTCCCTCGTGGAGCAGAGATGACGAAAACAATAGGGCTCCACGGGAAAAGACGATGGAGAAGGATGCAAATAAGATATCGTGAAGTCACTCGCTGCTGAGCGAAAGCAAACAACCAGCAAAGTAAACAATCGGTGACGGTGAATCGCAGCTGAGCATCATCCGTTATCAATCTATTATCTCTCTTGCCCTGCTTTGGGCTCACTCTCCTGCGCTGAGAACCCCCCTTTCTCGCTCACCTCTCCTCCCACTCTCCTCAGTCTTAGACGTCTCCGCCATCCCTTTTTCTTCTCGTGTTTTCGCCGAAAAGAACACTTCTCTCTCTCCCACTCCTACTCACACACAAACCGCATCCCTCCGAACGCCAACAACATCCGTTCGCCCAACCACCGCTGTCGTCCGCCAACACGCACTACCACCCACACCCAACTCCCACACATCACACAACCACTACCATCCATCCTTCCTTTCCCTCAGCAAAAACTCACTACTCACCAACACCACAACCACCACCACCCCATTCTTCTCTCTGACAGACAACTACCACTTCCCCTACTACCTCCCTCTTTCTTCCCCCACTCCTCCTAACAAAAACAACAACCACTCTCCAAACTTCTTTTCCCTCAAACAATCAAACTTCTACTTTCTGGCAATTGTTGTTACACTCAACTTGCTTCCCTTCTATTCCGGTAATTTCCAATCCTCCCCCGATGCTTCCTCTCCTTCCTCGCTTACTCTTCGCGCGCAAAGAATTTCCCTCACCGCCTTAACCCTCACACACACCCCCCCTCCTAACCACACTTAACCTACTACAACAAATCGTATATAAACGACAATGGTAGCTCCGCGACGTGGCGCTCCCAAGCGCAAGGCTGACGCTTTGGATGAATCCACTTCCGCAACCAATGGCGTCGCTCCTGCTGTTACCGAGGAGACCGTGAAAAAGACGAGCGCGACTGCAACCACGGCGACGCGCAAGGGTCGCGCTGCAACCAAAACGGAAACCGAGAAGACCACCACCACGACTAAATCCACTGCCGCCGTCGCAAAGCCAAAGAAGACTGCCGCCGCTCCGAGAAAGGTCGCGAAACCCAAAGCTGCTACTTTCGCGCCAGAAGTCACTCCTCCGCCATCGGCGCGTGAGAGTTCCCGTCTCAAGGAAAAGACCCCCGAGAACATCGAGCCCCCGACTAAGAAGGCACGCGCTTCGCCAAAAGCTAAGTCTCCGGCCAAGCCAAAAGCCGCTGTGACCAAAGCCGCGCCGAAAGGCGCTGCGCCCAAAGCCGCTCCCAAAGCTGCTCCCAAGCCCGCTTCCAAAGCCGCGCCGAAGGCCAAAGTTGCTAAGCCTGTGCCGATTCTCACCGCCGTTCCGAGCGACCGTGTGAACGTGTTCGCGTGCGGAACTGGAGAGTACGGTGAACTCGGTCTCGGTCCGTCGCCAAAGGCAAAGACTGTGGGAAGGCCTAGATTGAATGCGCTGCTACCAATCGACTCCGTTGGCGTCGTCGCTGTCGCTTACGGTGGCATGCACGGAATGGTCTTGACCCATGACGGCAAGGTCTACACGTGGGGAGTGAACGACTTGGGTGCTCTGGGCAGAATCACCAAGGCGAAAGACGAGAAACTCAAGGATGCCGATGCCGACTCCATCGATAGTGACGATGAAGATGAGGTACCACTCAACGAGGACGAGAGTACGCCAAAGATGGTCGAGTTTCCCGAGGGAACTGTCATCACGAGGATTGCCGCTGGAGACAGTCTTTCGCTCGCGGTCACCAACACGGGTCAAGTGTATGGTTGGGGTACCTTCAGGGTGAGTCCACTTCTATTCCCCCGGAGGAATTGCTTGCTTTGCTTCTTTTCTTTCTTTCTTTTTCTCCATGCTGACCTTTTTCTAGTCTAACGACGGTGTTTTGGGCTTCTCCGAACATGTCCGCATCCAGCAGACTCCCGCGCTCGTCGACAATCTCAAGAACATCATCAATGTTGTTTGCGGCAACGACCATGCTCTCGCTCTCGATGTCAAGGGCAAGGCTTGGGCGTGGGGCAACGGACAACAGAACCAGCTCGGTCGTCGTGTCGTTGAGCGCACGCGCATGAACGGTCTTAGGCCCCGCGAGCTCGGTATCCCCCGCAAGAAGGTCAAGTCGATCCACTCTGGTTCGTTCCACTCCTTCGCCATCACGACCGATGGTTTGGTCTATTCTTGGGGCTTGAATTCGTTCGCCCAGTGCGGTATCTACGAGGAGGCCAAGGACGACACGACGACTCTGGTTGTTCCTGTCCCGACGCGCGTGCGTGCCCTCGACGACAAGGATGTCATCCAGGTAGAGGGAGGTGACCGTCACTCGATCGCTCTCACCAGCAAGGGAGAGCTTCTGGCCTGGGGACGCATGGATGCTCACCAGGTCGGAATCGACCACGAGAAGCTCCCCGTCGAGGATGTCATCCTTGACGTTTCCGGAAAGCCCCGCTGCCTCATCGTCCCACACAAGGTCTGCGATGGAGTCTTTGACTTCATCGCGTCCGGGTCCAACCACAGCATCGCTCTCGCCAGGGAGGATGGCTCGGCGTACTCGTGGGGCTTTGGGGACCTCTTCCAGTGCGGGCAGGGGCCCAGCGGGGTGGATGTCGCCGTCCCGACCAAGATCGAGAACACCGCTACCAAAGGTGTTCGCATGACTGGCGCCGCTTGCGGTGGCCAAGTCACGGTCCTTGCTGGTCTTCCTGCTCCTTCCTCTGGGGCGCCGAACGGTGTTTAAAGACATCCGTAAGGTTGTCTTAGAGGGGGGGTCGGGAGGATCGGGTGGTCGGGCGGGGGGCGGAAGAGGGGTGGAAGAGGGGGGAGGAGATATTACTGATGACACGAGCGGGAAGGCTCGTTGTCTTTTTTTTTTCTTTTCTGTTTTTTTAGTTTTTTTTTCAAAATTCTTACTTTTTTCTTTTTTCTTTGTCTTTCGTTCTTTTTCCTAGTCTGGAGCGGGGGTTTTATTGGTCATTTCCTATCATCCAGTGGTGAGGGGAGAGAAGGGGAGGAGGGGGGGGAGTGGGCGAAGGAGAGGCTGGGAGGGGATCCATCGGAGTTTTGTTTTTTGAGATTCGATTCGAGGGGCATATTTGTTTTTTTCTTTCAAGTTTGTACCATAGACATCCTCTCCCTCTCCGGTATCGACTCCATTGTGTATTGTCCTCTTGTGGTCCTGGTCCTTAATCTCACATTTTTGGTTTTGCTCAAACTATTATGGTTTCGGGGGGTCAAAAGATCGTTCTTTGTGGAAACCTCTAAGTGCGAGTGATATCGCGTAGATGGCTCTAGAAGAAACCATTGTTGTACGATGCGGACTGGTATCTATTAGAGCCTACCACTACCTAGCAAACGAGCGAACCAAGCGTATATACTCCTCCGGGACCGGCTGCGAAGGGTCCAAGCCGGCTCGAGCCGGTTCAAGTCGATTCCTGCTGCTCCGGAGCGCAAGATTCGGATCTTGTAGTAGTCGGAGCACAGCATCTCGATTCTGCGTGTGGCACAACTCACAACTCACAACTCACAGTCTCGGGCCGACCTGTCCCCCCGGTAATATCGAGCACACTCTGGAGCTATGTGGGCGGGTCCTTCGTACATACATAGAACCAGCAGATGGTGCGGAACGGAGGGTCATGATCTTCTCGTTCTTTGCGTGGCCGGGGTCGAGTAGCCATACCCAGCGTGGGATGGATACGGGAAATAATATGCTGTTTACCCAGTTTCTTACACGTTGCCAAACGTTGAGTTCTTGCATAGTGAATACTCTTGTACATTCTTGTGCCTATCAGAAAGTGTATTCCAGGTCTAACGGCGGAAATACTAGTAGACACTCTACCCCCTTCCTCCTCCCTCCCTCCTTCCTCCAGCCATGCCCCACGGCCCACCCACCAGATTGTACATATATCGAGAACTAATAACTGTAGAACATAGAAATACAACCCACCTGAACCCTTTGGATAGGTAGATAGAGATAAAAGAAAGAGCAACAGGTATTTAGTCAATACAGAAAAAAAAGCAGCCAAAGCTTTGGCAAAGCATATAGTAGCCCCGCAAACAAACAAACAAACACGCCGACCGAAACGCCTTCCAAAGGAGTCAGAAAGAAAAGAAAAGAAAAGAAAAAAATACGTATCATAGAGTAGGAAGGAGATGGTCAGAAGAAAAAAAAAGAATAAGGGTGAAATTGCGCCAGTAAAAACCAATACCAAACGAAGTGAAAAGCCAAAATAATATTGCAAACCAACACAGCCCGTATCTCACTGTCCTACTTTTTTCTTCTTGGCATCATCTTCCGCCTTGCCGTAGTCGAGGGGCAACAACTCTAAGTTCCGCAGCTCCCACAGTATTCGAACTCGCGCGTGATGGATATCCTGGCTAGGGTAATTTGGGATCCCACCCCGCGAGATGACCTCCATGGTCTTCAACACGAAGACGCCGCAGTCGTTGGTGTTGGCCTGCTGCGGATAGTCGGGCATCTCGTAATTCTCCCATTCGTCCAGGTTGACCTGTCCCCGAGTTTCGTTGTGGAGATAATACCGCAGAACCTATTACATTGGTTAGTGATGGAGACGGGAGGAGGGAATGGGTGGGATATACATTGAAAGGTGCGTTAACACCATGGCGTCGCCGCATAGAATCGTAGTATTCGAACCGTTTGGCTGGTGGATTAATGGCCGCCAGGGTCCAATGATTATTATTTTCGATCATGGGGAAAATGATTAACGAGCACTCCAGAAGCTTCATCCCCCCGCAACCCCGTTTCGTCGCGAAGTTTTGGACCCTTAGGTAGCCGTTTGGTTCTCTCAACGAGTTGAAAAACCAATGGGTAAAGGTCATGACTCTAGGCTTTTCCCGTTCGAAGACAAGTCTGCAGTAATGGTTAATTGCGTCGTCATTCAGCCAACCTTGAAAGTTGTTTGAAACCACTCTCCAAAGAGCGGTAGTGGTGATTCCGATGAATTCGCGCGGGTCCATGAAGCACACCTGCTTGTAGACAACTTCCTTTTTCGCCAGGGCATCCGCTCTAATCCTAACGACTAATTTGCCGACTTCCTCCAGTTCTTTACCGCGTAGAGGCCTTATAACCTCCCGCTGCGCCTAGAAGTCCGGCAAATATACACGTCAGCATCAAAGACTTGAACACTTCAAAAAAGACACGAACCCTTCTCTTTTCTTCTATCCTTGCCAACTCTGCCTAGAAGTCCGCCATATAATACGTCAACACGTGTAAACTGCGGTGGTGGGCCCGGAAAGAAACGCACCTCTGCACGTTTTTGTTCCTCCTCTGCACGTATCCGTTCCACCTCGGCATCTATCTCCTGCTGTCTAACCCGAGCAGCGTCCAACGTTTGGAAGCCATTGGTTTCCGTTTGCAATTTACCGATAGTTGCTCCGAGGATCTCCTCTATTGCGCTACCTGCGTCTCTCGCTCGCTCAATCTACCGCCAACTGTGAGTAAATTACCCAAGGGATCAAGCCCGAACCCCATAAACATACCGCTCTGATAGTTCTAGCTTCCTTCTTCTTCTCAGGCTTCTTTACTCGAGATCCAAGCCTGTCCGACGGGCGCCGGGGCGTGGAATGGGGCGTCGAAAGCGGTATTCCCATAGTGGGTTTTCGTATCTGGCTTCTCCCAGGAGTTCCAGTCTGAAATGCTTGCTGTCGATTCCCCCGTATAGTTGTCTTAATGTCCTCAGCTTCTTCTCGGCGGATGAGAGCGCTTTCATATATCTGACTGGCATTCTTCCGTGGCCGCCTCTTGGGATTGAAGGGCTTCTCGGCCTGTCCGAACAGAAACGTAGTCACACCATCATGTTCGACCCTTGACATCTGTGTGAGTTTCTTTGAGAGCAAAGGTGTATGCGCCACCACCTTTCGCACAGGCGTTTCATCCTCGGAGGCAAGCGGCGACGGCAACTGATGGTGCGCAGGTAGTTTCTTTATTGATATCTCATCGGGTCCGGGGATCCCGATCTTTAGTCGCTCGGTATTGACCTGTGATGCGGCACCGCTATCATTGCCACCTGTTGCACGCTGAGTGGCAGTTTCGATGGTATCTTTATGCTTCGCTGTCAAGTGTCAGCGACGAACACGTTACAAACTGACCTGTAGGGATCGAACAAACCTTGGCCTTCTAAGACGCCCTCCTTCCCCTCTGTAACCGCCCCGTCCTTTACAGCTGCCTCGTCCCCTGTAGCTGTTTTATACTCTGATTCTGCCGACTGGTCGTCATCGCCATCGTCCGGTGCGGCCGTGGTACTTGTTGGCCGGCCAAGAGAAACTATAGCTCCGCCAACTTGGATTAGAAATGGGCACCCCCCATAGGGTAGGGGAAAGAGTTTGAATACCAAAGCTGAATATCCAGCTTAAACCGTCCACTGCTCGTCCCCAGAATCCAGTCCGCCGACGTATCGGCGCGCGTTCGGGAACGCAGTCTACTTCGTCGGCATCACTCATCTCGTCGTACGATCTTTTTCGCGAGCTCGTCGAAGACGCGACGGAGGTCGGGGAAGGGGCGCGCGCAAACTTTGGAGGTTGCGGTTGTGGCGATGGCGAGGAGTGTGGAGAGTCAATGGCTGCGGAATCCATCCTACGTATGAGGATGGTACCGTCCCAAGGCTATGTGGACGGTCGTTGTTGGCTTGTTTGTCGGAGGCGGCTGCGGTGCGCGGCGATGATTGCAGACGGTGGTTGTTGCGATGACGCGACAAGCGGTGGGTGCTTGGGCTAGACGTTATGTTGATTGAGCCACGCGCGTAGTCACCAGTCGAGCAGGAGAGATGCAATGCTATGCTGTGTAGACGGATCGATGGGGAGGGGTGGGTGTGGTGGTAGGGGTGGTAGGGATGGTCGCAGACGGGTAGGGATGTGGAGGAAGGAAGAATGGAAGAGTCGAGGATTCGTTCTTCAAGCTTGAAGAATATGAGGCTACTCGGCGAAGACAAGCTCTTGCTCTTTCTTCGCCTCGTTCTTGATTGCTGTGTATCCCTCACTGCTAGCTCTGTTTCTGGGCGACATCGAATTTTGAAGTTCGCGATAACTCACAACGAGCACAGACTGCCAAGCCCCCAGAGCCGCATTCGTTTCAGTGCGGCTTAGCTAAGCAAACGGTGAAATTGAGTGAATCACTGCAGGTTACGGGTGAGAATGCATGAACACTTCAACTGTTAGTATTTCGAAAAACTGAGCAAATAAAACTGTAACCCTGTTTGGATGGCACAAAAACTGAGAGAGAAAAACTGGAACTATGCGGCTCCGGCGATGAAACGGGAACTGACTCCTGGAGGTCAGTTTCTTCACCGCCACTCAGTACCGCATTTTAACTTCAACCATGGCCGGTGTCTTCACTGAGGCACGGGGAAGAGAAAAAAGCGGGGCTGCAATGTATCTACTATTAAAATTTCGGTGAACCCTATTATTCAGGCTTATGGCTGAGTATACTGAGAACTGCCAAACACTCCGTTCACCTCAAGATTTTCCGGAAACTGTAACTGAACAGTATTTGGTGTCCGGCGGGAAACTGAATTTGGCTCTAAAACTGGAACTGAAAAGTGAGCCTATATATCCGAACGGTCCTAAGTATTACGTCGGATATGGGCTGAAAATATTGAAACTTTTCCAGTGAAACGGCGGACGGGACTGGACTAATCCCCTCTAGATATGTAGAACACTACTTGTACCACCGTCAAGTGTGATTCCTCTCTCCAAGTGTTCACCTATGTCATCCAGCAGCAATCTAGCGGCTCAGATATTAGGTATTGTCTTCTGGTAGCATCCTGAGAATTTGCTGTAGTCATCGAAGAAGAGCAGAGCTTGATGTCGCCTCAAGCCAGCCTGCACTCCAATAATATTTCCCGCCGATGGTCCACTAGTTATTGATGTATTGTACAATAGCCACGTCGGCAATGCTCGGGTAAAGGCACATTCAACAGCAATAAGATCTACCATTACACTCGGCCATACGTACCCAAGTACCTAATGGTTTACGTAACTTCAACGAGTCGGCCGAGAAAGACGCGGCTACGCATGAAGGAGCTGCGGCTGCCAGTCGCGCATAGAAAAACTCAAAATCGATGATCGCGCCTCCAGACTACGAATAGATAGCGCAGCAAGTGCACTCCGATCATGTTAGGGAAGGGCAGAGCGAGTAATCACCAGAATGCCACCCCCCCGGCACTACCCAGCTACGAAACATTCCAGAGCTCAAAGCCGCAGTGCATTCCAAGCTGACTCGGTTCCGTTCTGTTGCGCTCCCTGGCATGTCTCTGCAGTTGGTGTTTGTTAGCACAGGATCTGACGGCTGATCCCCTCCCCACAGGGAAGCAGTGTAGGCGAGGCTGGCGAAGTATCGGGGCACCGTGATTGTGGTATGGATGGGTGTTACTGGTGCAGATATATCTGCACCAGTAACACCCATCCCTCGACCGGCGACGCAGAAAACCGTAAGCTTCATTACTGATGCCTACAAGCACATGTGGCTTATCTGGCTTATCTCCCACCGGATCGGCGTATTGCACCGACGAACTGGATAGTGCGGGGAGAGGCGGGAAGGGAGCTGGAAGCCCAGACCGAGTGATCACCCATGACCTGCAGAAGCGCTTGCTGAAACCACTGTCGCGCGCTTACGCTCAGAATCTCGCGGTGGGACACTCTGTAACTGTCAATCCTGCTTGTAATGGCCTAGTACGGGGTAGGCTGGAAGAGCAGTGCTCCGCGGAAGCTTGCATTGGGTAAGGCGTCCCGGAAACGGGTTGTCGGGTTTGGTTCGCGAATTCTTTGCAGTTGGCCACTCACGCCTGGATGTAGGATGGAATGTAGCGAGACGGCACACGATGTCATGTGTTGGCACTTACTCTACATCCATCCGGGCGAATGGGCTCCCTACACGGCGTACTAAGTGATTAGCTGGTGTCCGCGGAAGAGACGAAGACTGGAGGATCCTTACCGCCGGTATAATTAGGCTAGTATTAGGTATTCGCCTGCCAGGCCGGATGTGCTCTGGGCAGCCGAACCTAAAACACTGCTGACGGTCCTGGGAGACGTGGGACCCGAGCCAAGGGGGATTGATGTGCCACTGCGCACTTGGAGGAAGAGGCGATTCACGGTAGCAGTCCGTCTAGTAGCGTTGGAATCAGCGCGGTATGTACATACATTACTACCGGTACATGTCTACCTATCATCTATGTAAGTAAATAAGCTGCAAGCATCGTACAAGACATTCAAGTAAGCTCTTGGGTGCTATTCGCCGAATCCGCGATATCACTTGTGTCTGGGGCTGGTACATACATTTGTGCGTAGCTCTTCTATGGTATGTACAGGACTAGATTTTATTCGGATTGTGAGGTGGGTTAGTTCTTAAAGAATGCAATCCGTCATATGCTCGCAGAATCTTCACCGTCAGTGAGCGTTTGGCAGCTCATGGAGCACAAGTCGCGCTAATTCGCGGTTAACAAAGGCCGCTAATTAGGCGAGACGTTCGTGATGACAGCAACGGTTGCCCACAGGACTGTAGTCACCTTCCCCACAATAAACCGCCACTCATCACAAGCAACCACACCATCTCAACAAGCAACAGCCAGAAACAATGTCCATCAATCCATTCAGCCCTTCGACGATTCTGCGGCTGATATCCGAAAGCCTCCCGTCCGACGAGCAGCCGCAGCTCAAAAATCCCCAAGATGCCATCGCAATCTTCATCCACGCCTGCATGCTCACCGTGGGCTTCAGGTTGGTCGGGCTCAGTGAGGATGACCGGATATGTATGCATCCACCCGTCGCGGTGCCCCCTGTCTCGGGCCTATATGCTAACGTGGAGCTTCGTTAGCTTCGCCCTCCGACGAATCGGCGCCCCAGCCGTTGCCGTCGAACTGGAATTCGAGCAGTGGCAGTAGCTATGGCTTCCGATACTCGCACTCGCAGTCATCGATGGTATTTCTCGTTAAGATCAACCGGCTCGGCGGGAAGACCGTGATCATGGGTCTCGGACTGGGCGACGACAAGACCACCAGTTTCGATATAGTCACCAAAGATTTCACGAGCGAGAGCTTCTTCCCATACAGCAGCATCGGCAGCGAAGGAGATCAGCTGGAAATCCTTCAGGACGGATTCATTTCCACCAACAGGATGTCAGATCTCGCTATCCTCGTTAAGATCAACATTGTCCAGAAACTCGTGCCGGGAATAATTAAGCCGGGCTACGAGGAAGAGGCGGAGGAAACCAAGGGTGGTGGTGGTGGTGGCGGACAAGCTTCGCGTCAACAGCAGCAACCGCGCCCCCACCATGACGACGGCAATAATCCTCTACCCGTACCCCCGCCGTACGGAAGCCCATACGGCGGACTCCCGAGAGGCGGACCGCCACCTATCCCTGCAGGCGGCGAGCATATCCCCGGGTTTGACGATGAATACGGAATCTATCAGCCACCCAGAGGCAGAGGCGGATATGGATATCCTCCGGGGGGTAGGAATCCGCTCAGCATCGGAGCAGACGACTTGAACCCGCCTGGCCTGGGACCGAATCCCCCGATGGTGGGTCCTTTCTTCGGTGAAGGAAGCGGATCGAGCGGGATGCATCCAACGGGCGATCACCCGATATTTGGAGGTAATGGGGGAGGTAGAATGGGAATGAGAGGAGGATATGGACGGTACGTGCCTTGACTCTGACTTTCAATATTCCGGACAAACCGCTGACCTGTGTCCAACCTTAGGGGGCCACCGGGCTCGCGTTACGATCCGATTGGCCCAGGAGACGAGCAGCCGATGGGAGGATTGAGAGGCCCTCGAGGACCGGGTGGACCTGGGGGTGGTCCCGGATTCGGGGGGAGCGGGCCGCACAATCCGTTCTCCAGCTACGGAAGTGGGGATTTCATGTGATGGAACCGCGTTTCTTGCTTTCATGTATGCTTCTCATTCTTTGGGTTCATATGATGGCGTCGTGTCTCATCACCTTCTTTTGTGCTTCCTCTCTTCCGGTTCTGGTTGTCCCTCATGAAATGACGACGCTTCGTTGCGATCTTGCGATCTTGCGTTCTCTCGGTCCCATAATGATCTGTGATGAAACATCGAACACGGAATAGCCTGCGATTACACAGTTAGCTACGTACTACCAGCGAGCACTCTAGAGCCACTATATCTGCAGTGCGGTCACTGGAGCCAGTAGTGTTACCAATATTAGATTATTGCGGCATACCAAGACGTCGATCCAAGAGTCCGGGCCCCGGAGACAGACATCACTCTTCTGCATCCCGTTCCCGGGTAGACTTAGTGCTGGGCGTGCGGCCGAGGTTGAAGCTGCGCAACCCATCGCCGGAGCCTTGTGGGGGGCGGCTACGTCATGGCAAGGATGATCTACACAACGGCGATGGTTCAACTTCCATGTGATAAGCTCCGTATGTATGTACGAGCGGATATCCATACGATGTACTTGGTATGTAGAGTGGGTACTTTACTCTACAGACCGCAATCTAGGTACTCTACGTCGATCATGGATTCTCCAGGCACCGTGTCACCGTGCAGAGCACTTTCTCGATTTTCCCAGTTTCGAGATGCCCCCGTGTCCCGCCATGGGGTTGTTGAATCACGCGACGCTGATTGCGATCGCAGAGGACGCTGGTGGGGGATGATGCAAGGGCCCATCGATGTTCCCCTCCATGTCCTGAGAGGATGGATTGACGATTCGTCCTTGTCACGGAGATGTGATCCGCACAGGTTTGGGAGCAGTGGCGGACGCACGCAAGCCCCAGCGTGCTTCGCTCCACCCTACTCTACTCCGGGTACTAGTAAACACGCTCATGCAGAACTTGCTAGATACAGTAGCGGATTGTGGGGTTGCGGTTACGGGCGGCTTGCATTTCTTTGTGCCCGCCTTGCTGTGGTGGTGTTGCTGCCTTGATGTGGCGCCGTCCCAGGCCAAACTGGGCTTAGCGGCTATGTCGTAACCACCCATCTAAAGCATGGCGCCGCACTCGCGGCGAGCAAACAGTGACGTTTCGATGACGATGACGATGATCATCGTCGTCGAAGCAGCAACAGCAGCAGCAACAGCGGCAGCAACAGCAACAGCAGCAGCAGCAGCAGCAGCAGCAGCAGCAGCAGCAGCAGCAGCAGCAGCAGCAGCAGCAGCAGCAGCAGCAGCAGCAAGCAGCACGCGAAACGTTGAAGCTAGAGCCCTAAAAATTTGGCCGATCTCCCACTCACCGAGTCCGGACGTACACCATCTATAAAACCCTTCTACTTCCCCCCTCCACCGCTTCTTTCTCATCCACTCAACACACACTTGCACCTTCACATCCTCACAATCTCAAACAACAACACCTTCCCCAAACAAAAACTACCTCCAAACAACTCAATCAACATGTCTGATCTCGGTTCGTTCTTTCCTTCCAATCTTCTTCCTTCCGGTCTAGTCCGATCGATCAGCTTGCTAATCACTCCATCTTCATCTATAGGCCGCCAGTCCATGACCGACAAGGCTTCGTCTGCCCTCAAGCCTGACTCCCAGAAGTCGACCACCGAACACATCGGTGACAAGGCCGCCGGCACCTACGACCGTGTTGCTGACACTCTCCAGCCTCAGTACGCTCTCCGCACACTCCTTACTTCACCACTACTGTTGCTAACCCATTCCTCCCAGGTCGGAGAAGTCCACTACCCAGAAGGCCGGTGACCACCTCCGCAGCGGTTCCGACGAGACCAAGGACCAGTCCAAGAGCGTCGCTCAGACCGTTTCCGACACCGTCTCCAACGCCGCTCAGGCCGTCAAGGATACCGTGTCTGGCAACACTGGCAGCAACAAGGAATTGTAAATGGGGGTTCATCATGACGACCACCAGATATGATTTGATGGCGTAAATGGGTGTTCTTGTTTCTTCTACTTGTGCTTTTTTTTGCTTTTTTTCTTGCTCTGATTACATGACGGAGATGGGACAATTGGGATTCGCATCGGATGAAATAGCTAGACGAGAATTTGGGAATTGAATCGATTGGGTCCTGGCAAACTTGTGTTCTCAAAACGATACGTGACAAATTGTGGGATTCCTCAAGCTGCATCACTTCGACCCCCGCGATCTTTTCCCACCTATTCCACGCTTGGCTCACCATCTCCATCGATCAGCTCGCTTCCTCATCGACCCTTCCAAACATGAGGGTCGGTAGTCAATCGATCCCCACCTTTTTTCTTCCAGAAAACAGTACGTAACATGGCTTTCCCCACCGGCAGTTGAGCGATCTCTGAAACGATTCGAACTCATGTGGACGATCAGGTCTAGAGCCGCATCGGTAATCTCGATAGAGTACGCCGCAGCAGTGTGCAGAATCTAAATGTCTCAGCCCACGGAAGTGGATGGCGTACAATACATCATACAGCGTCTTCAGCCAACAGGAACATGCATGACGCTTGAATTCAGCAGGTATTTTTCCTGTAAAAACAGCTTACGACCGTATGATTGGAGAGGCAGATACTTCACATACTCACCTACCGTACCTATTCTGCAGCAATTGCGGTTCCTCGGCCTCCCGCGTAACGGAAACCGGTCACTAGTCAGCATTCGGCATACCTGATCGGGGGTTCCTTAACTACGGTAGGTACTTGCTTCTTGGACTGCGATAGAGCCGCTGCCTACTAGGTATTCCAGGGCAGTGTTCGCATCCTTTCCGGACCGAGACGGGGATGGGAACGGGGACGGCGGGTAGTATGGATCACATTGCATCACATTGCATCACATTGTATTGGGGCATTCGGTGGCTCGGGGTTCATCTGGCGGTGACTCAGTGTGGAATCTGATCTAGATGTGCGCTTCCAGGTTTCCCGCGGCGAGTAGGACTGTAGGACCGAGCTCCGGGCGATGGTCGGTCGGCCGTTGCCACAGTGTAGTTGCGGACTTGCGAGTCCAGGTACTATACGCAGTTGGTAGACTGTAGACTGTGGGCAAGCTGGTGCTGGGTACGGAGTGGTCGCTGGTGGGTATGTGCATTGTGGACAGTTTGAATAGTGCGGGTACTTGGCGGGATGCGAGAAGCGCTGCTGATCGGTCGGCCACTTCGTCCCGTCGTGGTGGTGGTGGTGGTGGTGGTGGTGGTGCTACCTATCACATCACCGAAGACGGCCCCTCCGCGTCAGCGTCTGTTGGGACCTCACCTCACCTCTGCCGCCAACAGACACCGAGGCACAATGCTTCCCGGCGGCCAATCGGTGATCGACTGGCTACATCTTATGTACCAGGTACTTGCCCGGGACGACGGATTGATTGCAATGTCTGAAGCGTGACTCCATGAGTGACCCGGTCCACCAGATGACCTGAAGGCTGGTAGGTACCGGCGGTCAAAGAGTGAGCGAGAACGCATGAATGCAGGCAGATCACGAATTCTTGCACGGGTTTTCCCGCCACTGCCGCTGCCGCCGCCGGGGAAGCCATCGATATCTCTCACTCGGTGGGCGTAGCTATGGCTGTATCGAGCGGAACCATAGGTGATTGGGCTTCGCCATGGTCTAGATAGGCTGCATGCGAAATAAACTGAAGATCTATCTCTCTCTCCCTCATAGGTGATTGGGTCGATGGGATATTAGCACATACATCTTGGGTCAATCATGAGAGGAGGCAGCGAAAGGAGGACTTGTCGGTGGGAGCAAACAGATGTGGTTGGTAGCGGTGGGCATCAACGTTGGCGGCCATGGCGGGGTCTTCTTCTCCTTTTTCTTCTTCGTCTTCTTCTCTGGATCATCATCTACAGAACAGACGATCAACCTCTACACCCTCTCTCTCCTTGTGTGTTCTCCTTCTCCTTCTCTCGACCCGCTTCCCGGCCAGGAAAGGCATTGACGAAAGAGCCCTCGCAAAAGACGTTCTCACTGATCTACCAGTTCAGCCCACGACCAACTACCGGCGGAGCGCAGGTGCGGAAGACGGTCACACATGACGAGACGGCGCGGCTGTGCCGTCCAGCGCACTCGCGCGTAACTATCCTCGTGCCGCCAGCAATTGGACAGGAAGCGCTGAACCTACCCGTGATTGGGCGATCCTGCACCCGAAATTCCAGCGATACTAGTAGTTATGCGTGCGAGTGCGGGGAACCCAACGACGAGTGGACAGCGGCGAACACCGCGGTGGCATACCTACGCATCGGCGCAGCTGGGCGGCATGAACGTATGCGCATGAATATATCACACAGGCCAGGCCTCAAAGTTTGAGACGGGGTTTCGACCTGGGGAGGCTGGGTGCTAGGTCGCCAACCATCAATGCAACATGCAGCTTCAACGAGCTGGTATGTACTTTGGATTTATCATTTTACTGCGGCCTTCCGGGCGAATCAGCACCAGCCGCGGTGAAGGAGACCTCGATCGATGAGGGACAGGGAAAGCACTCGTCTAGACTCCACCCCCGTTCAACCAACCAACCAACCGAAGAGGATATCGCAGATTCGTGACCGAGTCAATCGACCGATGATGAGCGCTGGTGTTGACACTTCCATCGAGAAGCAGGGCCGCATCCACCACTGGTGGGTGATGCTGCACGGTTGTTTTGGTGGAATACCTGGCTGCTTGAGTGAGTACGGGTGGGCTACGGGGAATTCTGCGAGGATACATACCAGTGCTCGGTCAGAGATCTGAGGAGTTGCGTTGGACGGTGGAAGCACTCTACGACTCTGGCGATGTCCTCCGCGGACATGTCAATATCTTTTGACCAGTGAGCTGGCCGGTAACGATTCGGCAGCGAAGAGGAGGAGGAGGAGGAGGAGGAGGAGGAGGAGGAGCAGAAGGCGGGAGCTACAGGTTACACAAAAGTGCCCTCCGGCAGCCCCCGATCGTCGAGACCAACGACAGGCCGGACCTCCCAGTGCTCCCGCCCCACGCCTCAAGTCTCGACGCCTAGTCTCGGACTGCGCACCCTGCGTGACATCTGACGTTGGGGACACCGGAGTACAGTACTCTACATATGAGGCGGACTATGCCAGTGCCAGTGCATGAATCACGGGAGCCCTCCCAAGTTCCAACTTCTACCCATGTAGCATGTACATACATAAATACATGGACGTGCGATAGTATGTGGGCCGAAGCACAAGTTCCCTCACCCCTCCTCCTCCTCTTCCTCCTTGCATCATCATCACCACCACGGTACCACCACCACCATCACCACCATCACCACCAATATCTACCCCCCTCCCAGAAGACTGCAGGGCCCTGGTCGTCGAGCAAATCTTCACTGTCCGCCCCCTTACACGTCGCGCGTAGATCAGCCGGTACCTACATACATGCCTATGGTAACTAAGTAAGTAGTAGTTATCCATAATACCTCTCCTCCAACCCGTAGTAGCCCAGCAACCGGCAATCAACAACCAGCAACCAGCAACCAGTATGTATCTAACGAAGCGTTTTCTGGCCGAGCAATTAAGTGCTTACATACCTACCGACGCACCCCCCGTTCCGCGTCCGACCTTCCGAGTCCGACCTTATGCAACGGTCACGAGGTGATGGGGACTATGGCGTTATGCTATCCCTCCCGCGGGCCCAAGGCATATGTAGGAGAAGATGATCCGCCACCAGGGCTTACATAAATTATGTAGCCTCCTGGGGGAAAATGAAAAAATGTGGAAGTGAAAGTGAAAAGTGAAGCGAAAGTGCGGATTGGGGGATGGCTGGCTGGATGGGTGGGTGATTCGTCGTGCTTCGCAGCGGTGAGGTCTTTAGGGAGTCCGGGTGGCATTATGGGATTCCCCAGGTCCAAACATAGGTATCATACGAACGATCGAATGGATAGCACCGACCAGTATTGGCACGTTACCTGACCTCTACCTACCCACCTGCATAGGTTACAGGTATCTGCTCTCAGTCGTAGATGATACATTCCACCAGTATGTAGGTCCTGATAGGTAAGTAAACCGCTGTCTAAGTAAACCGTCGTCCACAGAGTGGGTACGTGTAACCACCTGGTTACCAAACGAGTATCGAGTGTCGACTCTGCTTGTTCGTTTCTGTTTCTCCAGAGCTCCGGTGAGCCTCCATACCCAGAGTAATATACATCAGTCAGTCAGTACCCACCCAAGCAACTACCCAAGTACCCAAGTACCTACGCTACTTGCGCTTATGTACGGTAGAGTACGACGGTACGAGCCGAATCGTACGATTCGCAAAAAATCCGGATGATACAGTACCCTACCCTACATACCCTACCCAAACCGACCGACCAACCACCGACCAACCAACCGACCGACCGACCGACCGACCGACCGATCGACATATTTCGTTTTTAACCGCGGAGCGGCTATGTGTACTTGTACTCTACATATCCAAGTAAGAAGTAGCAAGCAACTTGCTTGGTGCTGGCTGGGTGGGGTGCGATCAACACTGTACCTAGTAGTAGTACTATAGTTACAGCGAAAGGGGGGGAGTGGGGGTTACTTTACTACTATATACTACTTGGTATACCGTATATACATACGGTAGGTACTCTGCTTACGACCACTTGTGGACCTGCGGTGGTGGAAACAAGTACTGGTACACTGTATTGTACATACCTTAACGGACAGGCTTAATTTAATGCCACCGTCTTCCCGAGGGCACGGTTGAGTATGGTACTTATGCATGCACGCATGCGTGGTAACGGTATTGTACTCTATGTACATCTATGTAGGTAAGTACTTGCTCACTGGAATAGGCTGGTACTTTAGGTAGGTAGGTGTCGCCATAAGGGCGGGTGTATAGGTTTCCTTCATTCATTCGTCAACGGTGCTGGTGCTGGTTATTTACTTATCATATGTTTTTTTTGGTTTTGGGTCCCAGAGCAGTGCGGATGTTGGTTCTTGGTCAGGACTCGGGAATCGGGATTCTAGAATATCATCGATAGGTAGGCGGATTAATTGTGCTTTGCTGTGCTGAGCTCTACCCCCCACCCCCCACCCCCCACCCCCCACCCCCAGATGCCCCAGACCTCCCCCAGACCTCCCCCAGGCTCCACGCTCCACCGGAGCGCAAGTGGGTGCTTACTTGGTTACCAGAGTT